TTAAAGTCATCATTTTTTAGTTGTCATTCTTTATGGGGCGATCAATTTAGAATTTGAAAATTTTTTAAGGTTTTTAAACTGATAATTTATCCATCTTGTATCCATAAATAAATAATAAAAGAATTAAATTATTTTAATCCAATTAATTTTCTAAAAAATCCTAGTAATTAATATCGATGGTGGATATCTGTTTAAGCCATGTGTGAAATCCATTTAACTATTTCTATTGATTAAGAAATTAATTAAACTTGATTATTCAGAAAGGATTTTTATGACTCATAAATCAAACATATTCATAGAATATGATACAAAAATTCAACACGTTTGTAATTTCCAAACAAGCAATGCTTCTATTAATAGATGAATGAATCGAAATACTGAAATCGCCAACGGTATTAATTACTATATAATCAGTTTCTGTTGCTATATGCCCCCAAAATTTTGGGTTTTTTTTTAAAAAATGCTTCATCAAACATATCCAATCAACATTGTTTTTTTCTGGACAGGTGCAAGACAAATATACATTAACTGAATTATGGAAAATACAGTTGTATATATATATATATATATTGGACTATGTCATGAGTCCTTGTTTACCCTACAAGCAAACAACAAACAACATGTGGATTATAAACTATGTTTGTTTTAGATCCCCATTTTTATTGAATTTCACACTTATGATTTGTAAGGCTCAAACGTTAGAATTGGAACCGGAGTCACCTTAATTAGACCAAAACGCGAACGTTGTTGGTCATGAGCATTCTTTAACAGGAAATAAGTAAAAATAAATAAATAAATAAAGACATGGATGATTAGTGCTTATATCATCATGAGTTTTTTTATATATATATATATATATATATAGTTGGTGGTTGATCATGAAAACCCTTCCCTAGCTTCCTTGTAACTTCAAAATTATTTTTAATCACATGATCTTTCAGCAATTTCTTACGTCTAGTTGTCTTCTTTTCGCACTGATTAGTTAACCTGGTCTTTTAACATGGCCTTTACACATGGCCTATTTATTTTTTAAAAAAACGAACTTTTTTAATTTTTAGCAGCTTCCATCAATGGACTGCATGAAATTTTACACGGTTGCACCTACCACAGGGAAGAAAACATATATAGTAGATGATAGTCAAGTCACAGGTGCAAAAGAATCAATACATTCTCCCGTTGCAAGTAAATTATAAATTAGTCTCTTTGGTTTGGTAAAATAAATAAATTAGCTAATTATTTAGTTTTTTATGCTTTAATTTAATCAATAATTTAATCATTTCATCAATTTTTCATTAAATTAATTAGTATTTTTTAAAAAAATTGTTTTTCATTTGATATTTTGTTTCTCTCCTTTATGTACTTTCTTTCTTTCTCTTCAACCAAAATAAAAAATAAAGTAATTTAAGAATAAAATTACTAATGTAATGATAAACTAATAAAAAAATGAAATTAAAACCCAAAGAACTGATTAATTTATTACTCTTAACTAGAAGGACTAATTATAATTTACTCCGCGTGTGCCGGTCTATAAACAATTCCAAACAATCTTATGACAATATAATTAATAATATCACTAAAGATTCTCTCTTTCTTTCTTTGTTCACATGAGAAGGTTTACTTGGGTTTGAGCTATATAATTAATAATTGGTTTTGCGTATCTTTGACTTCGTCACCTAATTAAACTAGCTAGCAGTTAGCACTCACCCACTTTTAATTTATTCAATTATGCAGAACGCAGAACGGGACATCTTCCCAGTTTAACAGAATGGTTCTTAGGTCGGTTTCAACCACTCAGTCGATTGAAAAATAAGGTTTTTAGTGATGAGGCAATTACGTACGTGAGTCTAATTAGTTTAGCTTGTAAAATTAAGATCCAATTCATTGATAGTTGGAATGGAAAGAACCGCAAGAAAGGATTTTCTCTGTGGCCGTGCCAGAGGCCACCACCAAAAGGGCCTTCGGAAAAATGAGGTATTAGTCGAATTCAATCGATCTTGTTACTCTTCATCATCTGATCAAAGAATTTTATGGACTTAAAACGTCCCTTTTAACATGGTTCAGGTACTGAAGCCGGATTGATCTCATCATAAGACAACACTGATTGCCAACAGTCATTTTCCATCAAAATTTGTTGATGCCATACGTATTGCCAAAAGAAACGACCACCATTTATTTACAGTTCATGGAAACTGACCGATATTTTCACAAGAGAAATCCATCCAGCATAGGCTAATTAATTAAAGCTCAGCCTTCATGTAAAACTAATTAATGAAACCAATTATACTTCGTAAATAAACTCCAAATAGAATAGTTGGTTGGCGAAACGTGATTTACAAATAAATTTCTTATGCTAAAACTTCAGACAAATTGATTTGTCAACTGATAAGTTATAAAATATGAGTCTCATAACTAATGAGTGATTGGTCTCTTATGATAAAAAAAAAAACCATAGCACACGTTTTTTGTATAATTTTGTATAAAAGCGACAAGACAACTTACATGATAGACATTCATGTATTCTTGTGCTAGCTGTACCTGAAACTTTCTAATGCTATAAATTATCAAGTGATCTCAGTCTTCATCATATATTTTTCTTGGAAAAAATCCAGTCCTTAAGAATGCAGGCGTAAATTGATACTCCATTGATTAAATATTTCATAATTGACATTATAACAGCTGTTCTTCTTTAACGAAATCACATGAATCTGTAGAAACTAAAGAGTGAAGACTGGTTTTATCTATCCCCTTGATCTACACATCTTTTTGTCACGCCAGAGATTTCGACAATGACTATTTCTTACTAACTAATCAATCATAGAGTTCATAAATATTACTTCGAATAACACTTGACAAAGACTGTTTCTTGCCAACTAAACATGAAAAAAAGTTTCTGGTTCAAAAACTGCCACATTAATTACATAACTCAACTATTGCTAACTGCGACGCTCGCTATATGAAAGCATTCCTTAATTAATTCTCAGTCTCTATTGCGAGACCGGAAACTACACCATGCATCTTTATGGAGAGATTTCCAAATGGGGAAAGAAATTTCCAGAATGGTCCCCCAATTGTTTCGAAATCGGTACAATTTATGTGTCTGTCTCAGTCTCACCTACTTAGCCGTGTATATCCAGAGCTTACCAAGCCCTTTCACCCCATGAGCTTGGTCATATACCACAACCTAATGCCAAAAATATAAACTAAGGCACACTTCCATTAGTCAAATACTATCTACTTATCGGTTTCCATCTCTGTATGCAGCTAATCCATCCCCTTTAAGATGTTGACTCCCGTGCTAACAGTAAGGATCTAGATTGGTTTCTTTTATTCGTAAAACAAAAAAAGCCAAGATTTTATGGAAAAAACTAAGTTCCTTTACCACAAGTTTCAAAACATAGTTTTAAATCGCAGACAGTTGAAAAAACGACCGCAGATCATCATCGAAAATTACGACTTACTATAATATTAAAATAACGATAATAGCATGGTCAAAAACTATTCCATAACGGTCGTTATTTAAAACTGTTTTCAGTCCTTTGGTAGTTGGGTTGGGAGTGGGACTACTTGGCTTGACATTTTCATGTACGTCTTTTAAGCGTGCTGCCTAGCAATTCTTTTTAATCCGAATCACACGGAGAGATTTAAAAAGAAATTGTATTTTGTTCCAAAAGGAACAATGTGAAAGCATACTTTTCAGAAAAAGAAGCCAAAAAAAAAGTCTTAATCCTGTCCTCATATTAGCATTTGCATTATTTTTCTCATTTGATTGATTTCAAAGGAAGAAAATGTCTGAAACCTCCAAAGTTTTTGTTGGTAGGTGGATGAATGTTTTCTATGGTTTTGAAAACTATAACACTCTGATTTTATTGCTAGTCTTTAACCATTGAAAAAAGTAAACTATGAAAGTACGTAACCCAATCAACAACCTCCACACGAAGACTTTTTGAACACTTCCAGAAAGAAACAATTGGAGGAGCTTCAAGGAAAAGACGTAAAAAATACTTGACCCAAAATCCTTCATTGAGAATTGTCATTACAAAAATTTGATTGAACAATGCTACACAAATCAATAAATCACCGCAAGTTTTGTACCAGCAGATGCAGTAGTTACTTATTTGCTAGCAAATTATTTTCAATTTTGATTTCACTCGAATCCAATCATGGAGAGAAATTTAAAGATAGTCGTCCTATAATTCAATAATTTTCACTGGAAGCGACTGGTCACAAGACCTGCAATGGAGATTTTGGTTTGTATGTAATATCCTATGCAGAGGGGGAATAAATAACAAGCATGTTGGTTCTTAATTAGACCCAATTCTAACGGAGATTTTAGCAGCACTATATATTCTTGCTAGCTTGTCGCGTGCAGCAAGTGACCAATTAAATATGATGGCCAACTACCTGGGTTCCCGTCTTCGTCCATTAACAAACTGGTATTCATGATTTTCAACATTCAACAAATTTGATGTGTACATCAAGATTTTCGGTCATTTTTAGGGTTAGTTCCTATGATTGATTTGTTTACAAACGGAAGGGCAAGTTAAAAGCTAAGAAAAGCAAAACAGTTTCTCAAGATGTGTAGTATTGACAGTAGATTAATGGAAAGGTGAAAGTTGAGGTAGGAAATTCTGACCATATAATGACACAACATTGCATGCCAAAACAAACCATTTCATATTTCCATGCATTTGGTTATAATATCCAGTCTCACAGATTGCAATCAAATTGAGGTTCGAAGGCTTCATGGGCTGTGAGGGAAAGATCCATTACAAAACAGGCCCAATTAAAACCATTTTTTCAGGTCAGAGCCTAAGGATTGCTTGCTACTACACTAGAGATAAAATATGAAGGCAAAAAATAACCTTTAGGTTGCCTAAAACAGAGAGGCTAAAACTGACGCTTTTTATACTAAACCAAACTAAGTATGCCTAAGCCTCTCCGTTTGCTGTGTCTGTACACATCTACCAGTTTCTAGTCAGTTTTAGGCGAAAGTGAAGAGCTCACTCCCCCTGCTGCTCCCTCTTAGGTCCATCAGAACCATGAGATTCATCATCCCCTTTAGGACTTTCATCCTTGGACAGGGTCACACCAACTGGAGCTGTCTGCTCAGAGTTGGAGCTACGGTACCCAGTATCAGCTTTGGGACTTCCATTGTCAGATGGATTTACAGTCTCTGGCATTGCTTGCTTGGAGTTGATCTCAGTCAATGGATCTTCAATCTTCAACTTGACAGTAGAATTTTCACCATCATCTTGTGAACCGCTATCTGGCCCGGGCATCTCTTTACCATCATCTTGTGAACCGCTATCTGGCCCAGGCGTGTTTTTATCATCATCTTCTTCTGAACCACTATCGGGCCCAGATGTGTCGTGATCCACAGGTTTGTCAACGAGAATCGGTTTGTCATATACAGCACCATATGCAGATTGTCCAGCAAATCTTCTTGCTCTGGTTTTGGAAATGCTGGCAGCTCTGCTCCTGGAAAACCATCATACATTGCAGTCAGTAGCTGACCATGTGAAAAACACAACTCAGATGAAAGCATGCAAGCCAACCTTTTAGAGGATGAAACAGCTTTTGATTTTTTTGCGACTCTGGCTTAGTTTCGCTTTTAGCCTTTTGCAGTCTGCTAATACATTGCAAAAGCAAAACACAGATAAGGTGAAACATTAAGGAATCAGAAAATAATCTATAAAAAAACTAAGGGAAAACCATGTCATTATAGTCTCATTTATACAGCTAAAAATGATAGCAATTAAACTTACATGTCAGACGAAGCAGCAGGTTTTGGAACATCAATGTCCTGCGCCTGCAAACATTATTAGCACAATTGCGAGACAGATAAATTACTTCCTTGAAACAGTTCTAGAACATAAAAGGAGGGGAAAATATGAAATGCAGAATGAGGCATAAGACCCACTTGAACTGGAAGGGTATCATCTTTAATTAGTTCCCATCGCTGCCTTTTGAGATTAAGCTTCTCTTCATCACCATCAGCATACAAGATCTATACAAGAAGTCATCAACAGAAGTATTTTAGAGCTATAATATGAAGACGTGAAGATAGCTCTATTGATGATGGAAGTTGGGTGAGATGGTTTAGACGACATCATCCATAATGAACCAATTACCCCATCAAAAGATTAATTAAGATCCATCGATCTTACAAGAAAAGCTACATAGCCAAATAAAAGGTGTCATTGCTGTAATAGACACAATTTCTCATGATTTATCATAAACTTTGGCTCTAGGTACAGTCACAATTGCTACAGAAAGACTGAACTCTAAGTAGAAGAGAGGTTCGAAAAGCTAATTTCCCCCTCCCCAGATAAGTAGGGATTGCTCAAGAGTCATCTCACCCTGTGCTTCTTTTTGATGGGGTCATAAGAATCAACAACTCCTTCATAGAACCTGCAGAACAAGAAAACACACATAGAAACTTCATGATAGATGTTCTTTCGAAAGATCAAGAAATAAAGGTGGTTATAAGCTGAGCATGAATTCAAATTTCTGGGGCCAGACTCTCAGCCAAATATGTCTGTTGCATCTTGAAATCCATTATCTACGTTCACTAAACATAAAAAACAACAGACAAGTGGAGTTCTTTCACAAATTGATGGTTTTTTCTTTTTCTTTCCGTTCTGAACTGACAACAGGCAATGGCTCAGCACCCACGAAAAGCATGTTCAGAAGCTCAAAATACAGTAAACAAAACATCAACTTTAACCATCAAAGAAAAACTTAGATACGCCATATAAAGTCAATAAAAGAAAATTGCAGCATGTCATATGCAAAGATGTTCAAATGAAAGATCCTCTAGTAGAATATGACCACTGCCAAATCCCTTTTAATCACCCACAGTAAGATTATATAAAGTTCAAGGATCAACATAAAATAAATCAAAAGGACATCCTTGTCCATGTTATGACTGTTAGAACCTTGGTGGAAGACGAAGACATCCATTGACAACATGATCTCTCTTCAGCCAATTTTTTAACAGTTATTTCCCATACTAGTATTCATGCAGTCCTCAAAGATTGCATTATCATTTCAATTCTGCACTTTTGGGACAAAAACAAACAAGATAATGATGAATAAATTGTTCTCTCAGCCCACTTTCAAAAGCTGATTCAGTGACCTTATACTCAGCATAATATCACTTCACTCTCCTATATGAACATAGAATATGTGGAAGGCCATCTAACAGATCATAGTACAAAAAGTTATCAAATCCTCCGAGCATTGGTGAATGAAGACAAGTACAACACAAGACAACCAGGAAGACATGACAGGAAAAGCGAGAGAAATTCTGACCATCTAAAAAATTTTTCTTAAAAAAAAAAAAATGAAACTAGAAGTCAGATATTCAAGTCTCACCTCTTATCCATTGGCCACCAAACCTTTATTTTGCTACCAACCAATTGCCAACCGAGACCAGGAGTTTCAGAAGACTGAATTTATGAAAATAGCCATGTCAATAAATTGAAAAGGAACAAAGATTACAGAAGATAAAAACAGGCAAAAAATACCTCTATCTAGAAGCATGACATATAAGCGTGCTTAAAAGAAATACAGTGAATCAAAAAACACAAAACATAAGCATGTGACAGATCCCAAGATGTGTTGTTACAATCCACGAGCTCCAGAACAAGCTTTAACAGAGCTTTTTCACAACAACCCAAAGAGAAAAGACTAGGTCTCAAATCTCAATGATAGTTTTCAATAAGCCTGAAATGTATTTATTTGATGAATTTGATATTCCATAGACACTAAGAACTGTAAACCACATGTACCTACCACCCCTGTTAGACTTAAAAAGACCACTAGCATTTATTCATAGTTAAGGCACAAAATTGGAGAGCCAATTCAACAACTTCCTTTACTTTTTCCCAAATAGCAATTACATTAACATCAAACAGAAATTTGACCATCAGTCCAATATTTTCACGATCACCAATAAAACGAGAAAGCAAGTTAATATCTTGCCCACAGCACAAAAGCATTCTGATTGCCAAAGTATGTAATTATGCCTTCATTTAACTACACTTTTTTTCTTTCAGTTCTGTTGGCTATAGCCCTATTTTCATTCAGTTAAGCCAATAAGACAAACCAATTAGAGGTTTATGTGCCTCCACAACAGTTAAGAATAAGCTGACCCCACAGTCCCAAAGCAGTTTCTGAGATTGTGACATAAAGCATCTCATTGGACTTTCGCATTGCAAAACATTGGATAGAACAGCTAGACAGCTTTTCAAACTCAATTCATGCATAAAGTGCAGGCGTTTGAGCTAATATAAAAATAATCTCAACTCCTATACCCAATCTCTGAGGAAAGAGGTATATTGGGAGAAATAAAGAGCATATTGTCAACCTGATACTCCTCTCTCTCTAGACACTTCAAATTAGGTAATTTGGCAAAGTCCAAACACTATGATCTAACTTTTTCAGCTTTTTCTTTTTTTTTAATGGAACATTGGTCCACAATTTTATAGTATATCCAAAGTCCAAACAGAGATAAACTAATTTATAAGAATACCAGTTGCGCTAATGTTACAAAGTGGAAAACTAAAAATGTAAAGGACAAGAAAAAATGACAGCTCCATTGACTAGATACAAGTTACTCAGTACCAAGAAATAAGAAATCCATACCACTTCCTTCCTTGGAGTACGCTTCCTCTTGAGTTTTGTTTTTGGGGTTTCTTCCAGGTAACTTCCATCCCCGTCTAATGATTTAACCTTCTGTACAATTGGCAAACGTCAAGATAAAAGAAAAGGTAAAATAAAAGCTTATACATAACAAACACAATGCTATTCAGTTTCTTATTCATTTAATACCTTATCTCTAAATGCTTCCACATCATCCACAGCTGAAGAACCATCCAAAGTCTTTCTCTTTTTAGTGCCTGTTTGGACTGATGAGCTGTGTTTATTAAATCTCCTTACCGCAATCACAATTGACTGATGGCGAGGCTTTTCCTCAGGTTCACTTGGGACATCTGATTTCTTTGCAGATACTACATGTCCAGAAGACAGAGATATTTTCTTAGGAGTCTTTGAGCCAGCTCCAACTTTTCTTAAGCGTTTTTGTTTCTTTGCTTCTGAGTCACTTCTCCCTTTAGAACGCTTTCTCAAACTGACATCATCAGATTCTTGGCCTTTCTCTTCAACTTGATCATTCAAGCTTTCTCCCTTTGACAAGGATAAAGGACTTGGATCAGCATCTTCACTCATGTTGATCCCCTTTTTCTTTGGCCGGCCTCTTTTATTATAACTTCCAGCATATACTCCTTGCTGTGGGGATAGAGAAGAAGACCCTGAGATTTGACCAGTTTTGGGGGTAAACCCGGTTGGTTTTGTCACACTCAAATGGGTTAATGACAGAGCTACCTTCTTGGAAACTGGAGTTTCTGAGGGTAAATCATCAATGCCTTTATCATGAAGCTTTTCACGGGGAAGTTTGGTAGTTGTTCTTCCAGTAGAAAACCAAGGATCATAGCCTTCTTCTGGATTCATTAAAGAATTAGGTTTCCAGCCCCTTTTACTTGGAACAGTGTCTGGCTCCATTTCTAACCTGACTTTAGGTTCAGCTTTGTCTTTTGCATCAGTGCATTTAGAATGCTTGGTAAGAGAGCAAGACTCTAGCGTTTTTGAAGCATTAACCTTTTTGACAGTCCCAGCATTTCTAGTTGAAGCAGTTCCATTGCTTGCTATTGACTTCGAAATAACATCCTTGCCTTCACACAGTTCTCCATGACAAGCAGCATTTGGTGATAATTCCTTAGACATTTGACCGAAAACAAAGATTAATTTTACAGGGATCAGCAAAAAATATACTAAAAAGGACACCTAATTTGAGCACAAGAAATAATCCAGAATTACAGCAAAAGAGCTTTAGCCACAAATGCTACCTACCTTTCACCTTACAAGTCGCAACCACACTTCTATGAAGACAATAAAAAGGTTATCTATCTTAGACTTTGAGGTGTGCCTCGAATACACATGAGGTAAAAATTTGTTCCTCTCTAAACAGCATTTACAACAGTCATGAGTTTTTTTTTCCTATATATTTTATTTTACTTTATTTTGCATTAAGGTATATTAGTCATACATTGACAATTGAAATGTACTACCAGGGCTACAAGCTCATGTGTCCCTCTACTTTGCACATTCGGTCAAATCAACTGTGTCCCTTAAATTGGACCATATCGACTCCAGTTTCAATTTTAGATCCTCTATTTGATTACATCATATGCTGTAGCATTTAGCTGGCTATTTAATCAGTAATGGAATTAGAGGAAGGGGCTGAAATCACCTGTAACTAGAAGCAAAAGTATTGATTTGGTCTAATTTGAAGTAAAAGGTTTCATTTAACCAAATGAAGAAAATAGAAGGCTATGGGTGATTTTTAGCGAACCAATAACACTACAAGACTGTAAGATGAGCCTAATCTGAGGAAAAGATAATGAAGTCGGGATTTATATTTAGAAAAAGAAGAGAACCCTGGATCAGTTCCCATCTGTGGAAACAATTTTACAATTGCAAGACAAAATCACGAAAAACTCCACCCAAATTTCATGCAGTTATAGACAGGGAGAAGAAACATACCAAATGTTCCCCAGAAGGATTGCTATAATCACATTCAAGTGTGCGAAAGTCATCTCGGAATATAGAAGCAACTATTGGAGCATATTCATCCAAAGGTATGCCTGTAGACTGTACTGCTTTCTTGAGATAGGGCTTAAGTTTAGCAGCACAATTAGTGATAACTCTTTCTCCAAGCTTCCATGCTATAGGAGAAACACTCTGGAACCATAATATAAGATATTGTAGAGTAAATCTCAATGAACCTGTCAAGATCATGATGCAAAGTAAAAACATTTGACGAAAGACACACCTGGTTTTGCATTTTTACACTCGCTAAAAGTTTGGTGAGAAGCTCCACTGAGATTTCTTCACTTTCATCAATGACCAGGGTCATGATTGCTTCCATGGCCAAGATTACAGTTGGTGGATGAGTTGACCTTAAAATTGAGCAAGAAAAGCCATCAATTGTTGAAGAGACACAAAATAAATCCAGGCATTTAAATGAAAGTAAACAGGAAAAAAGAAAAGAAAAGAAAAGAAAAGCAGACAGAAAGTCCCAAGCTACCACTGCTTCTTCAACAACAACAAAACCACAACCAAGCCTCAATGCCAAACTAGTTTGGGTCAGCTATATGGACCCTTTTGCGCCTTTTCCGCAATCATATACTACCACTGCTTCTACTGATTAGAGAGAGAGAGAGAGAAAAAAAAACGAGCTGCTGCAGCTTCATTATGAGAACTGAAACAACAGCAACCATAAATACAGCATCCTTAGCACAACACATCCCTTGATGTTATCAAGAAACTAGTTTCAAAAAAAAAAAAAAATTCTGGCCCTTGCACCTGCCCTTGCACCTATAGCACAAGAATGTGCCTCGTACATTTTAGATAGAACTATTGCAGAGTCAATTTTTAGTGATAAGGTTACCATTTGACACAAGGATGGGCTGATTCCATGAAATAAAATATACCCTCCGGCACTCTAAAACCTGTTCTCTGACAAATATCTAGTTGTTACAGTCTTTTGTTAAGTTAAGTATATTTCCACTTGTCTGTATGACTGAATTTTTTGTATATCATTTCTCTATTCTATTCATGCCATGAACAATGAAGATAGAAGAAAAGACGGTTAATAGAAACCAGGGCGCTAAGAACCTGTGCCCTTCTTTCCAGATTTTTTGGAACACCAAATTAGAAGACAATCAAAACACTGCATATGTAGTCATATAATTGGACTCATGGGGACAATGATAAAGCAATAGCCAATTCAGGGATCCTAATATCTCCAAACCTCCATTTGAAGTCCACAAAAGTTTCCCATGAGGTGAAATCCGAAGAACTACCATGAAACTGAGTAAGTGAATCCTCTCCCTCTGAGCAAACACATTTTTTTTTGACACAAGCAAACCCAAGAAGCACAACGCCACCCACAAGACTTGCACATCAAGTAGGCTGTCTTCATCACTCCATATTAAGGATGCCAAATGATGCTATGTCCAATCTTTAAGTGGGTAGGGTGCATTGCCACATACAAAAAACTCATGGGTTGCTTCTCATCCGTAATAATCCCTTATGGGTCTATTCAACTTCCAACAAGCACAACAATCTACCTCATCTTCTTTTCCATAATCATAGGTAGTAGACCTTTGCGATCCAATTTAGACTAAGAAAAATTTTCTAAAGGGAACTGTAGAGAAATGCAGCACAAATTTAAGTGCTAGAAAACTCCTCCTGACATGTAAAAAGGACCTACAACTTCATACAGAACTTCTGAGAATTTCTAAAAAATTGCAGAATCATGAATACAATTGGCAAAAAAAAAGATAATAATAATAAGTCTACTCCTGTCATGCTTTTAGCATAAACTTCTGTCAATGAAATTCCAATATAAGTAACAAAACAATTATTCAAAACCCGGTTCTCTTTAATTTTTAGCAGCTCCAAAACTCAGTTTTTAGATGTATGATGACGGTACACACTAACAAAATTCAAGTTAGGCATTCTAATGAGCTGAAATTACTCACCAGCCTTGAATCATTCCGAACACAGATTAGTTATGGAACTAGAACTATTGAAGATAGTACTACAGCCTGTTTGGGGATTGTAAATGAGAGATAGAACTATACATGGAATCAGTAGTGGCTCCCATATCTTTCAGAAAATGACATATAAACATGAGAAGGTTAGAAAACAAAAGCTAATGCCATTGCCAAGGCTCTTAACTCTTACCTGATGAATTTCAGAAAGCATTGGAACATCTCTAAAATTAGTTCATCCAACTCCAGGTCCAGCATTACCAAGCATGACCTCACCCTTGCTACATTCTCAAGAATTGAAACTGCCTTCGTATAACAATGACCAGATGCATGAGATAATTTTTCAAAAGATGCTACTGTCAATTGAAAAATTTCCTGTCCATCGTTGGGAAAGCAGACAGCATAAGAGCTTGGGAAAAAAATGTAGGAAAATATACAGAAGAAATCTTATTCTGATCGCCCACACATGAAAATTGATTTTAGCTGCTATGAATACCTTCATTTGGTCATCATTGTAAGGGGCATCTGGTGCTGTTATTCTTGTAATCTCACTCATGCAAGATGTAACTGCAACCCTTACATCTTCTTCTGTGTGCCTCAAAAGGGCACTAGAGATTAAAGCCTCCATTGCAGGCAAAAGAGCATCTTGCATTGATCTTGATGGTGCTTGCTCCACATTTGCAAGGAAACGCTCAAGTTTCTACAAGACAAAATGAAGCACGGTAACATATCAATCTAATTTCTATCGATAATCAAAGCAATTAAAATATAGTAAAGAAACAATATGATTATTCTAAAAATGTGATAGGAGCCATACAGAAGTTATCTAAGGACAAAGACCTGTTGAAAAAATGACAAAACAGAACAAAAACACTATTACGGCCTATAAAGCTCAAATTACATGAAAGCCAAGAAAGTTTCATGGAAAAGACCTGTTTAAAAAATTCCATCATAAAAAGCACCCAAGAAGACAGTTTTACATGCATCATCCAAAACAAGCAACAGAAAAGACATCTATATCTCAAAATCTGTCAGTAAAGCTGGAATCTCTATGTAACTCATTACCAGACACACATCCTACCAGAATCCTCATCAACCAGAAGGCAACGACTTTGTATGATAACCATTTTTTATTTGAATAACTCAAAGAAGATTTTGCCACCATTAACACAAGCACATCAACAAGGGCAGACCTTCCTATCTTTTATTTACTAATAAATACACATCAACGAGGAATACTACTTCTCATAAATTTTCCTCAATAGGGAAAACCAAACAAAGAGATACTCAATGGAGAGATGGCAAAGGACAATGGCAATGATCCAACTTTTATGTCTGAATCTAAAAAGTTTTAGTGTCATGATTGATGTCTGAAACTGAAAACATTTTCAAAAGAATGGTAGAGATCATTTTAGGCAAACAGACAGATAAAGTGGCTACCAAACAATCAACTCAAGACCATTTTTGGCCCTTTCAAATTACAAAATTGCAAGACTGATTAAAAAAAATTGTCCAGGTGCAGAGTCTAAGAGATATATAGGCATCCAAAACCCAAATGTAAGTTGGTAGTTCTGGGTCCTGCGAGGTCTGGTTGACTGCAAGTTCATTGGCTACTGACTCATCCTAAAATGGCATCAACCATGCCTTTAGGCAAGAGTATATATGTTTAGCCTCTCTACCACATCACAACCAAGTAATAACATTACAGATTAACGCAATACTCCCTTATACTTTTTATTAATAAATCAAATTGAAAATGGAAGATCCCTCCCAACCCATTGATCAGGAAATGATGATCAACCATAAATTCATCCCTCCCCAATCAACAATCCTAACAATAAAATATAAGAACAACAAAGCTGAAGATAAATCAATCTCTGTAGAGAACATATAAGGCTAAGTAGAAATCAGAAATGCAATCCAAAAAAACGACCAAAATTCAACAATCATCAATTAACCCTAGATTGATTTCAAATTCAACACTTAAATTACCAGGGCATACAAACAAAAAATCCCGAGAAAGAAAACTTAAACAAACATTAATACTAGTGAGTTTATACATGACTAGTAAGGAATTAGGGAAAATGAAGCCCATATAATAATCACAACAATTATTTGCAAAATTGCCAAACAAACAATCATCAATCCATCACCTGAAATGCCGAAACATTTATATCCTGCACCAACTAATTAAGCCCAAAAAGATTGTTCAACAAACAATCAATTCAACATTCTAATACAATATCAACAACAATAAATAAAATAAAACAAAAACAAAAGGAATATATATATATATATATATATATATATATATATATACATAAAGAGATGAAAGGGTGATGAGACATTACATCAAGCAAGTCCAGAAGGTCATCAACAGATGATGGAGGGTTTAAGAGACTATTTCCAGCCTCTTTAAGCCGTTCTTCAAGCTCAGTCTCACTGTTAGGCATTTCAACACTCTTAACTAACAAAAACCAAAACCCCAGAAACCAAAAACACAAAAGACTCTCACTTTCTCTGTAAATTCAGAGACTTCTCACTGAAACCCACATCAGAAACAAAGAGTAGCATAGTATTTATAAAACCCACGAAGGAGAGAAATCAAAGCCATTTTTTGTTTGTTTTGCTTACAACTCTAACACAGCTAAGTTTTAGCAAAGTGGTGTGCATGCAAGCAGAGGTTACCAAAGAAGCAGTTTTTTTTTCCCTCGGATTCAACCCATTTGTTCACTTCGGTTAAAAGAATGGGTTTTTGGGGTTTTTTTGGGTTTTGGCTTTGGGATTACTCTATTTCTCTCCCTTTTTTTTATTGTACATTTTTCACTCCTGCTATGTGCATTACAGCTTACTGTTCGGAGGTTAGTTAGAGATTTTCTTTCTTTATTATCATCATCATTATTATTATTATTATTACTATTTTTACACTAATGGATTGGTCCCTAACGGATATGTTTCCTTTCCTAATTTTTTTACTTTTGAATTTTGAGACTCGGACTCAAAAAAATATATTCTTTTGAATAGTGAAGACAATATAGAAAAAAAAAGATTTAATTTTAATCTGATGCAGAAGATGGATAGAGAATACTACTTAACCATCCAATTAAAAAAAAAAAATCACTCTTGTCACAGCAAATCATTGTTTTTTCATAGATTAAGATTTTAATTTTTTTTTTTTTTTTATATCCTTCAAGGCATCTCAAGGCTAAAGACACAAACTAATCTCTTGATGTTCTAGAGAACGCACAAGGCATGACAGCTATTAAGAGAGTTTTCTTGTATACACAAAGACTTGAATCTGAAACCATTTCTTTAAGTGATTAGAGCTTTTATCACTTATGTCAACCCTCTTGAGTTTAAGATTTTAATTTTGTATTATTCTTTAATAGATTCATTCTTAAATTAAAATTATTTGAGTTTCAACACTAATCTATTCTTGTCTTAACTATTACAAATATTACTAAATTTTCTGAGTTTTTAGACAAATCAATATTATTTTTACAAATTAAGATTAAGTAATGTTTAATTACCTCTAGACAAAACATCTAAATCTATATTTATGTAATTATAAAATAAATGAAAAAAGTAAGAGTTTTTTTCTGAAATATTGTGTTTGGTTTTAGGAAAGACTGAACCCCTTGAGAGGGATTAAGTGTTAACCTAATGAGGGATGAGGTAAAAAATTGTTAAAGAAGGACAATTTTTTTAGATTCGAATTTCTCACTCATTTTCTCTCTTTTTTTCCTTGAATAAATATTAATTAGATCCCATCATTATACATATCTATTACTTATTATTTCTTAGTTATATTTAATTTAAATTTTGTCTTATAATTTATCGTACTTTACCATCACATATAAATTTTATATATCTATCAAACATTTTTTAATATCATTTTATAGTCATTTTTTTACACAATTAACACTTAACATTCAATTTTTAATTCCAATCCAAACACAATCTTATTATTATTAATTTTTTTTTAAGACTAGAACCCTACTCAAATTGGTGGTAACGTAGGAAGCTAGTTTACTTACTAAAACTAAACTCGTATACTTGTTTCTTTTCCATTTTTCTTTTTTTTTTTTGTACAGATGATAAAAGAAAAAAAAAGATAAAAAAAAAAGGAGACTACTTGTTTCTATTAAAATAAGCATGATGAATTTTTTTCAGTAAATTATAAAAAAAATCACCTTTGTTCCTTCATAAGCACGTTACACTTAAAATGTAAAATATGTTTCTGTTACATAAACTTCTTTTATTTTTTCAGTAAAGTACTCCAACTTTTATTTTGTTACAAAGTATTTCAACTCTTTATTTGTAGTCAATTAGGTACTGTAAGTTTTTTTCAATTGAATCCTTTTGATTTCCTTGAAAAAGTTTATCCAGATATTTTTATTTTTTAAAATGATAGAAATTTGTGAAATAAGGAAATCTATGAGTAAATAGTTTAATTTATCCTTATATAATACCATGAGTCTCCAATGTGTCTTTATGCTTCTAATTGCATATTTTACGTCTCCGAATAATGTTTAATTACAAATTTGCCCATTTGATTGATTTTTTACATCATGAATTTTTTTTTAAATGCCTCTGATTGAAATATAAAAAATAAATAAAATAAAATAACAACTATTTAAAACCACATGATCTGCATATTTCATTTTTCAAGTCTTTAGTCTTTTTTTTTTTTCATTTTAGTCATAAGCATCTTGTCAAAAAAAATTTATAATCGAAAAAATTAATCATAAAAACGAATTGAATATTTAAATAATATTAAAAATAGAGTAAATATAATTAGAAATGTTAAGAGATATTGGAAACTAGGCTATTAAATAAAGACAATTTGAGCTACTTACCCAAAATCTATTTTTAAAAACTCAAGAGAATCATTAGTGGAATAAAATGTAAATTTTCGAAATCCAGCCATAATTTGAATTTTCAAATTTCATACAAATAAGCTAGTTGATTTTTATGGTATTCTCCGCTTTTGGAAAAACAACTTATTCCATGTAAATAGATGGTTGGATAAAAATAAATAAATTATTCAATGTAGATTGATGGCTGGATAATAATGATATATATACATTAATCCTGTCGTGATACGTTCAAATAACTTATGAAGAGAAAATGTCATAATTATGAAAAACTTGAAAAACATGAGGAATTTAAACTGAAAGTGCCAATTCTTGCAAATTCATTTCCCCATTTAATTAAGTATTACGATGAAAAACTTTAGCATGATGTATTATTGCAATAGTCTTAATTATAGAAAAAAGTTGGACAAGATTCAATGTATATTGTCAGAAAACCACTCTATCTAAAATTTTAAATGGTTAATTAGGAGAGGATTTAGTGTAATGATTTTATATTATTTTTTCCATACATTTTCTGTAAAAAAAAATAAAATAAAATAAAAAAAATTAGACTTTAAACTTGTAAAGTAAAACAAAAAAAATTAAGAATGATAAAATTCAAACTCATTAACTCTAAGATTAAATATATATATATATATATATATATATATATAATACCATGTAAAAAAAAAACCATTCAATCAAAAGATTTAAACTTTTTGATGATGTACTTGAATATAACTTTGTATTACTTTTCTAATACACACAGTTATATAAAAATAAATTTTTTAATAATAATTACTATACATATGCATGTAAGTTTATATGTTTAATGGTGTGCCAAAAACTTTATGCAATAACACTTATCAAATTTGTATGATAAAAATCAAATAATGTAACAAATTGACCATTAAAATGTTGATTTATTACTAACTTAGATTGAAGTTTTTATCAATAAAAAATACTTATAAGAGGGTCCATCGAGGAAAAAAAAAACACACAAGTTTTAGTATTGATCTCTACAATATTTAATTCAACTTTTTTTTTAAGAAAAATTCTATAATTATTTTCAGAATAAATCTATTGATGGTCCATATATATATGTGTGTGTGATACTACAGTCCTTATAATTATGTTTGTCTGTAAGTTATTTGTCTAACGTTACTACTTTTATTTGTCAGTATGACAGTATTATATGTCTTTTTGCCTAATGATTGCAGCAATAAGTAATTAGGTTTGAAAAAAAAGTTACTGGATATAAATAAACAATATTATTCACTGGCTAGTGCGACTTTAAAAAACAACTCTTAATCTCCTAAAAAATAATAAAATAAATAAATACTTGTAAATTAACAATGGTTCTGAACTTACATCTTTTCGTAGTTAGAACAACATATTCTGAATGCATGGCACCGCACAACGCAATCATCACTCGCAATCTACAAAGGCAAATCATCGCATTAAAGTAGTGATAAATCTGCATTGATGGTTTGGTTTACAATTCAATAATTAATTAGACTACAGAACGATAATGCCTGACTCATAAATAAAGAAATAAATATGAACATGAAAACATATATATCATTTAGCAATATTTTTCTTGTATATATGTTAACTAGCTTGAATTAATAATAAAGTGTCCGAACAAGAGAATATAGAGGATTAAACTAAGAAAAAAGATTGATCTATTTACATAAAATTAAAGGTGAGGCGAGACTCTATTTTCATTTTTATTTGTTTATTAACATTTTTTTAAATAAAAAAAGTCATTACTTTTAATTCAACTTCAATCAATATCATAAACTCCAACAAACTTGATAAAGAATAACAATTTATGATCTTATTAATTACACATATATATCTCCTCTTATAACAATCATGTTTCAAAAGTGCTTGAGATTAATGAATAAACATGAGAGATGAAATTAAAAATCATGACTTAATTCTTGATAAAATTAAAAGAGTATTATTGGAGAACAAAAATGATAAAACATTATCTTACTTACCTTGTTGGTATCGCTACGGAAAAGAAATCCATCTTCGATATAATCATCCGCCGCAATATTACTACGGAGAAAAGGTTCATCTTTAGCATATTCATCCGCCGCAATCGCTTTCATGACAATTAATGTAAAAGAACTTATTGTGTATTGATTGAAGTCTATAATAAATTGAATTTGAAGAAGATTTCGTAGTTATTATAAAGATTTTTATGAACAAATTGAAATTTGAGAATGGCAATCGATGCAAACTAGGGTTATCAACGGAGCTAAGTTGAAGGAAAAAAGAGAGAGGACAAAAATATAAGAAATGAAGAATGATTTAGAAAAATGCTAAATCGCTTCGATCGATTTATTCGATGGAAAACAATAATATCTCTTGAAGAATTTCTACTAACAAACTTGTCTCGTAAATTGAAGTTATAGAAATTATTTTTTTCTTAATCAAAGATGAAATCTTTAAAAGATCAAACAACAAAAAAATAAAAATTCAAATGAGTAATAAAACCTCTTCAAAAATCAATATAAATATACGGTGTATAGCATTCAACGCACCCTATGTCGAATTAGATGGGTGTAAATAAATTATGAATCAATAAAAAAATATCAATAAATTCAAGTTTTGGTTAATAAAATATATAAGTAAATGAATATATATATACATGTGTGTGTGTGTGGAAGAGTGCCTCAAAAGATGCTCAAATTTGCTTATGCTTGGATGAGCCTTGATTAGAATGGGGACACTCATATCATGGCTAACAATCTTTTTGTTGTAAAATTTTGAATGAAGGGTGTCAGTTACCAGTCCCGGTATCTTCTCCTTCTCACCGACTCTCTATCATCCTGACACGTGACCTACTTTTTCAAAGGTTCCAACTTGCTATCAGCGCTCAAGCGTGCCGTGGCAATATTGTAATTTAAGTATTTCATATTTCCTTACCATTAGTGCTGACCTTGTGGTAGAAGCCAGAGAGGCCAGAGAGGCCAGAGGTGTACTCTATTTTTGCTCTTTCTTCTTCCTTTTTTTCCCCACAGTTTCTTGTCGAGGAGCATTGAATTTTATTATATCTATTTCGAAAAGAAAAGGATAAACTAACAGGAAAAACATATCTGAATTGTTAATTTTTCTAAAAAATTTCTACGAATTCATTTTAGTTCCACTGTAGTATACATATATATACATACGTGTCTATAAACAATTTATTGGGCTTAAAAGAAATTAGTATATTTATACAAAAGACCACCTTGAAAGTTGCTAAATATTATCTTTATTTGTTTTTGCGGTTATGTATTTGCTACACCAAGACTAAATCCATCATGATTCAGTAAAAATAATGCCAGGACCAGAATATTCTCCAAAAAAGTTAATTTTGCTAGCTTTGCACCCGTTTGAAGTATCTACCTGCACATCATGCGTTCTAACAGCGCTTGCCTTCCTTCTTCTAGTATGGCCTTTAGATGATAATAAGGTAACATCTTAAGTGCATGGTTTCTGCGCTAAAGATGCAACTGGATAATTAACTTGAAACAATTGACTGATCCATAAAACCCGACGCCTCGTTCTAACAGAGTTGCCTACACCATCAGCATCAGATCATTGTCTGCTTGCGCGCAAATCCAACTGCTTAAGAGTTTGGCATGTGAATACAGGACGACCATCGCAGGGATTTAATGGAATTCAGGGCTAAAATCTCAAAAACTTGGTTCTAAAGATCCCTTTCAGATCACTTACTTCTTCAAGGACTCTTGGATAATAGAGCAAAAAATTAAGAAAAGCTTGTAAAATCATGTGTGATTTCAGCAACAATATCAAACTGGTCACTAGCATGTTTAAAAGTTTAAGTTTAGCTAATGAGCAAATTCTGTATGTCATCTATATCAAGCCAGGCCTTAAAAATGTGCTAATTCTGAATTCATATATCAAGAAAACGATGTTTCACCACAACATGAATCAATTTGATTAAAAGTCGCAGGCAGCTAGAAGACTCAAAATTCCCAGAGCATGAGACTGGTGACTAGAAATCACTAAAAAATCCCATAGAATTGCGGGTCCACAAAAATATGGAATGAAGGTCTCTACAAATGAAATTCAACTCAAATCCCATTATAAATTAGATCCATTTTAACTCAGTGAGACTTGATGTGTTCCTGAACAACATTATAGCCTTCGCTTGTCTCACCATAATCCTGCAAACCAGTGAGACAAAATAAAAATGTTAACCTTAAGTCGCCAACAGCCAGAACAAACATGCAACAACTGAAAGGACCGGACCAATACCTTCACAACAACACAGGAGCAGCCAACAACCTTCCTGGCATTGCCCTCAGAGTCAATCTTGCATAACTGCATGTAGGGACAACAATAAGATTAAATAAAGGTTTCTGTTTTGCAAACGACAAAAGCTCTTAATGGAAAGAAATATGCAAGTTTTGCAAGGGAACATGATGCATAATCAATACAAAAAATGCAATAGTAACATCAGAACTTTTTGTAGGTTGAACTAGCTAACGAAACTCAATTACCAAAAAGAATAACAGGATGTAGATTTCAGAAAATAAGAAAAAAAAAAACACTAACCCATTGATTTACAACTAAGCTATAAATAGACTAACAAGTCTAATGATTGATACGAAAAGGCTAGCAGAAAAGCAGAACTTACCCCAGCCCACTCGCCAAGAGTCTTAGCACTGGGAACTGTTAATAAGCCTACACCATGGTCAGCACAGAGTGCTTTGACGAGTTTGATATAGTCTGGCTGGTTGCAGTCCTCTGCCAATACACAGAGCTGGGCAGCATGCTTCTCAATCACTTTAGCACCTTCGTGGATGCCCCGGGCAAGTCCACCATGGGCTAGAGACTTTTTCAGAACAAGCTGCAATGCTGTCATCAAGTCCATGGCCTCAAGAGGCAGAGCAGGAGTCTCAACAGGAGCAGGAGCCTCTTCACTGCAGAAGCGAGGAGATTCAGATACATTATTTTAATTTAATACAAACTCTCATTTCCAATTCACGAAATAAACAGCGAAACCCCTGGCATTAATAAGCATGATGAAAGCTTCCTGTTCTTGAGTTTGGGGAAGGAGGAGGATACACAATGCACCACTGTTATGTTGGCAATAGAGCAATAACCAATACCCTTACAATGGTGTATCAAAATTTGCATAAAAAATTTAGCACATTGTACTTAATATCACTAGTTTTTTTCCTTTTTTTTTTTTCCAAAAAAAAAAAAAAGTCAAGGGCCTCTGGAAAAAGCAAAATTATTCAAAGACGCTCCTACAAAAATTTGAAATCATTGACTGGAAGCTCAAAACTTGCAAGAAATCAAGACCAATTCGTAAGATGATGGTTAGAAATGTGCCTAAACTCTACAGCATTGAAACCGTTTGCAATTCTTAAGAGAAATAAATCAATTCACTATTTCAACAATTTAACATAAGTAACAAAAGCATAAGAAAAAGAAGTAAAAAAAACGGAGCACCTAGCATATCAAACGTGCAACAGCATTATCACCACTAAAGAATACCCAAAATTAAAAATTGTTAAAACCTCTTAACAAAAACTGTAATAGCTATTAAAACAGGAAATACAGAAACAAAATTGAGTTAAATATAACATTTACATACCCTGACATGACTTGTTGATGATGCTAGAATCTCCTTTCTGCAAAACCAAAAAAAGGCAAATTAGAAAATCAGATCTCAAATCAGACAGCAAGCACTTATCTCAATCAACTACCAACAGGATAAAACAAGTTCAAGAGTTGATGATATCCAGATTTTGTAGCATTAACTAACTAAAATCTAACATGCTTAATTTCGAGAAGGAGGACAAAGACCTACCTTTGCAAGTGAAGATCGGCCTGCTGCTTGTACGTCTGCGAAGCAAATAAAGGGGTGGTAACGGAATACGATAATATAAGTTGGCAAAAACCTATAAAGCCCTAATTCCTGGTTGACCTTCTTATTCTTGAATTCTTTACTTGGGCTTTTTTGTGAAACCGGACAGGGCTCCTTGAAATCGGCCCATTACTCATCGGAGCGTCTATAAAATGGAAATCAAAACAGAGTTTGGCTGAATGCATATATATTAATGCTTTTTTTTTTTTTTTTTTAACTTTATGAAAAATAAACCTCCATTTTACTGATCCTATTTTTGTTTAATTTGCTATTAACTAAATGCATGAGTATTTTTTTATGATCGTAAACTAACTGCATGACAGTTGGCCCAAAAGAATAGCCCACGATTTACATATTCCTGTTCTCGATTTGACATAGATTTTCAAAATCCTTCAATTTTTGAAAGTAATAGATCGCATTTTAATTTATTTTTTTCCTTCAGACTGCGATGGCCTATTATATTTTCGTTTTATAATTAGTTGTTCCCTTTATCTCTGTAATAATAACGTTGCTGGTTAAACCTGTTGTCTCCTTCCAACATACATTACAGAAGCTAGCACAACATGCTTCTTTTTCAAAACCTTAAAACATACAAGAAACATTTCCAAAGCAAAGCAATGCAACGTTCTCTACTAACTTGGCATATAAATACTAGCAAATATCCAACCCAGCAGCCTATAGAAATCCACCCTTTTCAGTCACAAGGGGGTTTATCACAAGACTGCATTGGCAGCCAACTAGCTGATGCTAAAAGAGTCGAAACCATTGAAGGCGGAAAAAAAAAAGAAAAAAAAAAGAGAAGAATCGGAAGGCAGATACAGATAATAGCTTATCAGGAAATCCTGGCATGCCCAGAGCCTGAGCAAAAAGAACACGACCTGCACAACTGTGAAATACCAATGATGAACGTTATCTTACACTCTGCACATCAATTGCAACATTAGGTGGCTATCAACACCATCTTTGATACTAAAAATGTTCATTTCCTGAAAATTTCCATGTCAACCTTGCAACCTGCAATATAATTTTATGTTTGTCGCATCTTGAACACCATGAGAAATAGGTACATGCAGAAAGATAAAGGAAATGGTGATACAACTAATCATTTAATCATATTTGATCACTTATACAAGACATCAAGAATTTAAGTGCAGTTCTCTCAGATCTGAACTCTGGGCCAACATCATCTTTAGGAAGTGCTTGAACAATAAACTCTAGTAAACTCAAATAGTAAAAGAGCTCAGCCAGAGTCAATTTGTAGAAATCCCACTGGGTAAAATAAACTGCATAAAAATCCGTAAGTTTGGAGAAGACAAAACGTGTCATATTTTCTTAAGATGCCAAGAAGACGAAACATGTCAGCATGCACTGGATGTTTGAAAAGAACTAAATCCACATTTATAAAGTATCAACCTCGATGGATCAGATAAGACACAAAAAAAATGTAGTAGTTGAACTGTACCTGACCAAGTAACATTGCCAAAACATGGAGCAGTCACGTAGTGAGATGAATGCAGCAATATAACTTTCACAGGTAACTCAAGAAAAAACTAAATTGGAAAAGTATAACACTAATACTAAAGGGAATGATGAGCAAAATCAATTCTTCTGCAATAAAAGAAATCCAAGCAATCAGCAGACAAGAGTTTCCATCAGTATACACCGTGCTGAGCCTAACAAAAATGAAAATTTGAATGCCAGAAACCCCAAATAACAATCAAAATAAAACTGAAACATCCTGCAGAATTATTATCATCTGACCACCAAAACACTATAGCAACTAAAGCCATGGTATTTTCCTCAGTCACTTACAACAGAGAAAAACATGTCTGACAAGGAAGGGGAGAGAGAACACCAAACTATGAAATGATAAATAAAAAAATAACAAAGAAGAAGAAAATTTTTATTCGGTGCTAATATAAGGAGATAACACATTATTTAAAAAAATTATCTGACATTATCTGTCAACCAGTATTGTGCTTACGCAAACTTAAATGCAGTAATTGTCACTTGACACTTAGTACTCTGTGATGCAGGATACCATAGTAAATGATTATAACTAAGGACTAAAAAAAGCATGCCTAGTGAACGATCCATATATCAAGGAAGCAGAGAGATGCAGAAAAGGATAGAAAAACAATCCAACAATCATTGAGATAATGAACAACAAATATAAGTTCATCCCAAAAGCAGAATTTAGTAGTCTGTAAAGCTGCACTAGCTGGGTATGGATAAAGATGAAGTAAAGTATTATAATTGCAAAAACAACAACTGATGTTTTACCTTAATTTAAAAATATATTTTATGCTCACCATGAAACTAAATACATCATTTGACTATAGTTCAGAAACTAAAGCAAGTAGACAGAAAGCATAGTCATAGATTAAGAAACTTGTTGAACAAGAGCATATACGAAATTCTGGTGTCAGACACCCACATACAGTTGAAAAAGCATCCTTTTCTACTTTTTTTTTCTTTTGGATTTTCTATTTTTCATGATCAATAAGTATTTTGCCCATTCTCAGCACCTAAACCGTACAACACACCAGCATACTTTTCCAAGGAACCACTAAAGAAATTCTCTTTCAATTTCCTGAATGTACAAGCTGTAAGCAAACTATCAGAACCTGCTTGATGGCATATCCCAACTCTCTTCACTTCTAACAACTCTGCAAGCTTGTTCAACCCTCCATGAAGACTGTTGCAAAACTTCATCAAATGCTTGATGTCATAAAGAGTTGGAAAGTACATGTTGATCAAATTAAAGAACCCTGCTTGAGTATCTGGTAAATTCTGGCATGTCAACAGCTTAAGCAAGTACCCAAAATCATAACCACTATGAAAAGTCACCCAGTACACGTTATCATTCAACACAATCCCAGATGACATTAAGAGTTCACCAAATCTCACAGCATCAATCCCGTTTTCATTGTTCTTCTTAAAGTCAATCCCACTCTGGCGCAAAAGCTCAATCGAATCATTTGCAAAAACATCCTCGTTCACATTGAACTCACGGAAATTAAACTGCCAAATGCAGTACTGATCTGAGCCACAAGTTGGTAAATTCCCTTGTTCATCTGAAAAGGTAAGACCCAATTGAATCAACTTCAACATATCCACATTATCCTTCAAAGTTTGGTAATGATAGTCATTACTATTCTTAAAATTACCCACCGGACGCAACACAATGCCAGGAAACTCCGTGTCCATGGCAATATAAGGGAACTTGTCAACTATTTCACGGATAAGCGCAAATTCTTCTTCGAGATTGTCATTCCACACCTCACGAATCTGAATAGAATCACCTTTTGGCAACAGCGACATCACAAAAACCAGAACAAAATAAAACCCACAACAAAATTACTTAACCCCAAATGTCTAATCAAACTAACCATTCAAGAACAGCACTAAACCCTTACAAAATCTATCAGCCACCCAACATAAAACCAAATCTGCAACAATAAGTCAAAAAAAGAAAAGAAACACATATCAGCTTTGAACCTAAAAGTCCATAAACAGCAAAATAATTCAAAACAAATATAAAGATCTAAACATATTAAACAAAGAGAAATGAATAATAGATCTAAAGAAATCCATGATTAATAAAAAGAAGAAATTCTAGAGAGAGAGAGAGATGGAATCTAACCTGAAATCAAAGAGATTTGAAGAATCTGGTAAGAGATCTAAAGCTGCAAATTCTAGAGAGAGAAACAAACATTTGGAGAGAGAAACAAGAACAAGACTAGATACAAAGGATGTTTATATGGGTCTAGTTATAAAGAAGAAGATAAGAAAGAGATATTTTTCAATGTTTTTTATAAGGTCAAAAATGAAACCAGTAATTGTCTTTCTTTCTTTGTTTTTTCTTTTTTGCTTTGTCTTTGATTTTGTGTTCTTTCGTTTTCAAAGAAACAAAAGTTACTGTTAAACATTATTATTATTATTATTATTTTAAGAGAGTTTTGAGGGGAAAAAAGGTTTTCTTATTCATCTCCTCGACAACTTGGGGAGGCGACAAAAAGAAGAAGAAGTTATTTTTATATAATTGTTTTTTAGAATTTATTTATTAAAAATATTAATTATTATATTTATGCTAGTTAATATTTTTTCAAACCAAGAGTTAATGTTTTTTTTTATTCAATGATCATATTTTTTGGATGAGTGATTTTTACAAAAACAGTTATGTAAAAGTAATATTATTCCAAAAAACAAACAAAACCTTTAAAATCCACTGGCGGAGGAATTCAGAGACTAATTTTATTTTTGGTTGGAATATTCTTTAACCCATATTTATTGATACTGATATTACATTTTGATTGCTATAGTTGTAAAGTTTAAATAACTGTTAAAACCTTTATTTATTTATTTTATTTTTCACATTTAGTACGTTTCTTCTTTCTTTTGTTGCAAATTTTTGTGTATGTATGCAATACACCTTGAATTCAAAAAGTGGATTTATTTTTTGTTTCCGTTTACTGTATCCCAAATTTTAGAATAAATTATAAATTATTTTTAGTAGTTTTAGAAAATAAATTAATTAATCTCCTTTATTTAAAAACTTAACTATTTAATCTTTATAATTCTTGTAACTTAATCATTTTTGTTTTTGTAAATTTATTTGGATTTTTATTTAAAAAATAGAAAAAAATAAGAAAAAAATATAAAAGAGATTACTTTCAAATTGAGATAAAAGAATATCAGATTAAATATAATTAATACTAATCAAAGGATTAAAATAATTATTTTTTAAAAAAAGACTAATTAATTTATTTCTTAAGACTAATCTATAATTTACTCCAAACTTTCTAGTTGCTAAACTTTCTCCACGTGCTTAATATCTGAGCTGCCACGTCATCCTCTTTTCACTAAGCCGACAACATTTTCCCGTCAATCTCTTCTTCATAAACCAACTAATATCATAAGCGAAGACATTAACAAATCTCGTTCCATAACCTAGGACGCACTATTGTCATTTTTTATTTATTTCTCTTTATACAAATTTTTTTAGCCCCCTTGAGTAAACTGGAAACGACGAGGCTGCTTAAAATAGAAAGAACCAAAAATAATGACTCATGTTAACCAAGAACATTTATAACCTTCGATAGATTCAGCTGCACTCGGCAGGAACATTTTCTTCTCATAAAACTGAAGTTCACAATTGCTCGAGAATATGAGTCCGATGTTAACAGATCTTTCAGTAACATACATCTAGATTGAACAACTTGGCAGTAGCACTAAGTCTGCTCCAAGAAATTATGGTCCACAATTTACATAAGTCAACTGACACCTACTCCAACCTCCTGGAAAGTTTCCACCTCCTCTGGGAGTTACCTAGCATTTAAATGGCAAATATTAAACTGTGGAGCAATAAACTTATACAAGGTGTTTGGTGTCTTGGAAAATTGAATGCATGTGGAGATGCTTCAGAGTCGTGTTTCATTTTTTGACACGGACCAACACCTCCCTAGCTCATAATAACAACGGAGCTATTGTGGAACATAATGCAGCTTGAGAGGAAAAAAATAAAAAAAAATTTAAAACACAGATTGATAACATGACATCAACTAAACCATTATAAACGTTTTTGAGCTTAATATGGCGCCAACCACGGTTTAACTCTTGCTCTCATGGCATGTGGTAATTTCTATAAAATGATGGTGGATTCTTTCTCAATAACTTTAAAAGGCATGAATTGGCCTGACCAACGAGTTGTTCAAATAAAACAATCAAGAAAGTTGATTGTACTAACCTTCATGCTGTTCTTTTGCGCTTAAGAGTGTTTATATTCTTCAAAATATAGCCAATGACCTCTTTCAATGTGGCCTTCCTTCCTTCTTTTAAGTTCCAGAGCTCTGAAACCACATATCTCCCACTAGGATTATACTCATCCAGCTCTTTCAAAGCTGCAACAACTGCCATGTATATCTCCTCCCCCCACTCTTGCTTGAGGTTTCGTAACTCCTCATCTTCTTCATTTAGTATTTGCTGCATCATGCATCATACCAGATGATTAGACTTTCCACCGACCAGTAATTCAGCAAGGGAGGTGAAGAAAAAAGTTTACCTTTGTATTCCCATCCTCATCAATGACTTTAAATGGATGCCATTCTGGATTCTTCAACTTCTCCTGCCACAAGCTGCATAGAGTGGAAGCATGTAACAAATGGTCCTCACGAAATCTTTCCTTGCATGCATTATGGAAGGGCTTCTCATCAATTTCTCCCATTCGTTTTAGTACAATAAGAGTGCGAGCACCCAGTATATCTCCCAAACCCTAAAAAAGAGTGGAGGGGGAAGAAACTGCCTTCCATTATTTCATATTACAATTATCCAACACACAATCAATCATAATTCACATTTTTTCAACAACAGTACAGGTAGAGAATAAACATGAAAAGTTAAGCATAAAATACTAGTTGGTACTGTTGCCCAAAATTAGGCAGAGTACAATTAGTCACAAATCGTGAGTTTGTATTTCCAATTTGATCAGCTGAAAGAAAAAAATATCTGAATTCTCTCACATTCTGATTACATTTCCTTTACCCTCCAAGGAAGCCTGATGCCAATTGATAATCACATCGTCCTCTGTTAGTTACCAATCTTATGTGCCAAGGACAGAAACTGAGTTAAAAGACATTGTTTTCTATAATTCCTAAAATCTAGAAAAAATATTAGATTGATTCCATTAACAGTGTAAATTCAAAACAATGTGAAAAAGAGAAAGGAAAGTAATACCGCTTTTAAAATTTTACGCGCTTCCTGAAGTTCATCATTGCTCTGGCGCTCTTTGATGATGAGAGCTTGACTCAGAGATGTCATATCAGCCAAATTTTCCACTTTATCTTCCAACTCATCATTCATTTCCTTCATCTTGTTTCGAACTGCTGCATCATCTTGATCACCAAGATGCTTCATCACCTGTAGTTTCCCTTTTATCTCTTGAATTTCCATTTCCAACTTCTGTTTGGCATCCAACTCTTTTTCCAACTGAAGTATCTTATTCAAGGCCTCTTCTTTCTCCCTCTGGAAATTTGTACATCTCCATCAGTACAAGCAACAGAAATAATATGATAACAAAGAGCCCAAAATACAATGTGCTTAGCACTAAGAGGTGCACCTTTTGCTCTTCAACCAGTCTCAAGACATTCTCATCAGCCCTTTTCTGCTCTATGGATGCCAATTGGAGAGAACTGTTCTTCACATCATTCTAGGAGGACCGAGAAAATGTCAGTCTTAGCACAGCACTTAATTAGACATAAAAATTGCACAAGCATTTTAATCATTCATGCCAGTGTTTTTATCTACTTGATCTATATAAGCCAGTCCTTGCAGTGCTTTTTATTCTTCTAAGCTGAAAGTGTTTGGTACTTGAACCTGTTAGATGGACTTGTAATAGTTTATTTTCCTTGTGGACAAACAACTGCACGTTAAACTTAACATATGACATATGCATTGACCAAAGAGCAAACAAGCATTCGGTAATAATTCTCGTCAAAAAAAAAAAAAAAGAAAAAAAAGAAACAGAGAAAGGGAAAACATTATCATGACAATAAGTTGATGTGGAGTGGCTAACCATTCCAGATGCAGAATTGGTTTGACTCTTTATGTTACCTTTTTCTTCTCTTCATCAAGTTTTTGCCTCTCACGCTCAGTTAGTGCTTCACGTTTGTTCAATTCTTTGCTCCGGAAATCAAGGTTTTTTTTCTTAGACTCCAACTCATCATTCAGTTTTTCCTGCTCTGCCAAGACTCTATGAACATTTTCACGTGCATGTCGCTGCATCTTCCTTGTTTCTGACAAACAATTACAAACCGTATGATAAAAAACCATCCAAGTCAGGGATAAGAATTTGGACTACATACTTGAATGAATGGAATAAGAATTTTGACATATTTATAAAATCAAACAAAAGCATTGATCTATTCAAACTTCTTCCTGGCTTGGGTGTAAGATCATGTTCAAAAGAACAATTACTGTGCATATCCAACTCTTATGGATGGATACAGGAGAATTGCATTGCTAACTTCAACAACACAAGACAGAAAAATATTCACGAAGCAATTTGGAACATAGAGTGTCATGTGCAATGGAGATAAGAATCTGTACAGAAGCATGCCATGCACAAGACACATAGGCACCACTTAACTAGCATATATGCAAATTATGCAAGTGTATAATTACAACACTACTCAGATATCCACAAATAGAAAGGAACAGACCTTCAACAAAAGCATATTGTAGTTTTTCTTTCTCTTCAAGCATCCTACTTAAAGACATGTTCTTCTCATTGAACTTGGAGTTCAGCTTATCCAGATTTTCATTTGTCTTGTCAATTTTATCAGCCAGGTGTGCCACAACAGTATTTCTGCTCTCATTCATTTCCTGAACAATGGCAGAAATAGTAGTCAATCTTCCTTCCCTGCGAAGGTACTCCCCTATTGGCCCACCAGAATCATGATCATCCGCGCATGCGCGCCAGCCATAAATGCTTGATCCAGGTTGTGTTTTCCTTGCTTTCCAGTCCTTTTTACTGTGATTTGCAGATTCAAATGATTGTTCAAATTGTGTTGCATATCTAAACCCATTCCAATCATGGTTGAATCTCACTATGGCCTGTGTGGTATGGTCTTCTTCATTCCAAAAGGTACAAAAATCCAAGGGTTTATACTCAGCAAATTTCTTCATCCAATAGTCATTGTCCCTCTGCTCTGCCATATTCACAACAATTCCCATCCACGGCCATACAAAAAGCTCATTATCCTCTGGACGTGGCTTGATGGGCTGTGGCACAACCTGGCGTGGAGTTTGCTCTGCTTCGTTAGCCAGTTCAATCTCCAGATATCTAGCCAAAGCAAGGTGGTTTGCCTTCTGTATTGCACTCCTGCTGGCAGAACCCCTTGACACTCCGGTTGCATGTTGAAGCAGGTCCTTGTACTTGTAGTCCTGTTTCTTTTTACCAGCACAGAAAGGGCATCTTAGGAACCCATTTACCTTCACTTTGAGTTTCCCAGATCTCAAATCTTCTAGTGGTTTGTCCTTATAGTCCTCAATCTCGGATTCACTTATATCTGATTCTTCTTCAGAACCGTAATCCATCTGACCAGCATAAAAGAATTATTTAAAAGTTCTGAGCATGAATCCATTGAACTAACAATAATCATTCAAAGTTACTAAACTATAGCTGATACAGAATTGCTAATCAACACATTATTATTCATGATAATAGCAGCACACTAAAACTAAATTCCAAACTCAACATTAAAACAAACCAACAACACATGCAAAAAAACCATCAGAATTATGAAATCGATGCGTTCAAACACAAACACAGACGCTTTCAAATAACTCCTACTCAAATTTCTCAAACATGTACAAAAATCCCAAATCACAGCAACCAATAATCCTTCTTACCCAAACAAAGCTCATTTTTTTCCCTAACAAGCCTCTAAAACCTACAATACATTCAATAAACACAATCTTTAAATTTTGAAATTCCTTCTACATCAGCAAAGCCCTAAATCAATCACATAAACACCTAACATTTTTCCCCAAACAAAGCTGAATTCCCTAAACAAACATTTCAACGCTCAGATTCTCTGACAAATATCTACAGTTAACGCAGGAACATCAAATTTAGTACTAAACACATAATAAAAATCATCAATCATGCCAATTATTATCTCCATCGAGTTACCAACAAAAACCCATTACAAGAAATATCGTATCTGAGCCTACATTCACTACAAATGCAGAGAAACTACAAATTTAAGCCACGTTAAGCTAAAAACAAAAAAGCAAACACAAAACAGTCTAGTAAATTCGAAATTTGCTCTTTATTAGTAAAACTCCAAATCAAACCTAGCATTATTAAGAAACAAAGCTGAATTTAAAACATTAAAAAGTAACAACAACCAACGTTTCGTTACTCGGAGTCTTCAACAAATCTTTACAGATAACGCGACCACGTCGAATTTAGGCTAAATACACAATAAAAACCCTTGACCATGCCGATTGTTACATTAATCGAACTACCAAAAAAAATATATATATATTTAGCAAACAGCGTATCTAAGCTTAAATTCACCACGCATGCAGAAAGAAACCATAAATTTAAGCCACATTTAGCAAAAAATCGAAAAATAAACACGAAAAAAAGTGTAATAAGTTAGAAAATGATAATTACCTTAATACTTAATAGACAAGGTTGTGCAGATTTCGAATCCAATATTTAGCGCTAGAGAGAGAGAGAGAGTTGGTTTTCTGTGGTTTTCGGGTTTTTTCTTGCTGTTTGGACTTGGAGGAGTGAAAATGGGTAGGTTAGTGAGTGAGTGAGTCAAGAGCGCGGAGTTTTATGGTTTATCCGTGCATTGTTTTGTTGTACGTTACTGAAGGAGACTTTTTCTTTTTTCCCCCACTTTTTTGTCTGTTGTGGTGATGTAATTAATAATAATTTTGATTTTAAAACTACAAAACGGAAAACGGAAAAGGAAAGAAAAATTTTTATAATACATAAAAAGTAATTAGTGATACGTACGATAGCTTATTTCTAAGCTCACTTTCAAGAGAGATATAGACACATAAAAGGAGAGAAAAAAATAAAAAAAATCGAATCGGACGTAGAAATCTTCTTATCACTTTTGATGAGTATGGATGTAATTTTTTTTTTATCTATCTCTCTCCTCAAAGTAGGTCTAATGACATGCATTGTTTTGTTGTACCGAAGGAGACTGTTTTTTGATTTTTTTTTTCACTTTTTTGTCTGTTGTGGTGATGTAATTAATAATGATTTTGATTTTAAAACTACAAAATGGAAAAGGAAAAGCCTGAAATTCTCACATTATTTTTTTTCATTTATTTTTTCCTTTCAGCTCACATGATTTTTTTTTTTATTAGTTGCTCTAATTTGGATCAATTCACATTTATATTAATAAGACTAAGATTTATTTTTTAATACTTAAAAGTAGACTGTTCCTTTCAAAATTAAGATACTCCTGAAAGATTTTTTTTTTTTTTTTCCGTATAGCTATAATTTCAACAACCTAGCAACACTTTTAATAGCCAAAATTTGAAGTCATAGTCCATTCTCATCAAGAAAAACAAAAATTTATATCAATATTAGTTTATACGTGCCGTAAATTAATATTTTTTTATCTTATATTTTTCTAATTTTTTCATTCATATCATAACACATAAGAAGTTGATTGGGCAAGAAATGTGTAATTACACACATTTTTATCCGGTTATAATTTTTTTTTTTATGAATTTTCTAATTACATCATAAATAGCCTGTATTTTAATTATAGAAAAGAAATGAATTGAACTTCGTTGTAAATAAGTTGACCTACCACCATTTAAAAAGATAATTCTATCTAATTTTTTTATGTAGCAATTTAAAAACAAAATTTTATCTAATTACAAAAGAAACTAAAACACATGGAATATTGATCAAAGATAAACTCTTCACTTTCTCTCTTTTAATTGATCATATCATGTTTTTTTTTCTTTTAATCCGGTTTTTGGGTTTTGTTTGCTATTATTATTGTTTTTTCCTTTGCATAAAAAAGCCCTTCTATTGTACTCTTAATTTTTGTAAATTTGTGAAATTCTATATTTATCCTTGACTGATTTACTTTTAATTTGCTTCTTTAGCTTTTTTTTTTTTTTTTTTTGCTTTAGACAAAGCATTTAATGCTCATGTCATTCATCGTTTTTATCCTCTTCATTTTTCATAGAAAAGCAATTGCAAATCAAGATTGAATTACAAATTAGTCCCTCCAGTAGTTCCCACAAATAAATTAATTAGTTTCTACGATTTTAAAACTGATTATTTTGCTTTAACATATAGAAAAGGAAGAAAAAATAAGTAAAAATATATAAAAAATTTAATGAGAAAAAAAGATAATTAAACATTCATCCAATTTTCTTTTAACTAAAATGGTCAAATTGCTTCTGAATTTTATTATATTTGGAAAAGAATTTCTAAAGTTTTAATTTTGGATTGGCTTTTTCTGAGGTTTTTTTTTTAAAGATTTAGGTTGTTATTTAGTTCTTTTTTTAATAAAAAATACCAGTCACATAAATAGCTTTATAACATTGATCATTGAATAATATTTATATTGAGCTCTCTAAAAAATCTGGAATCATTGTAATTTTTTTTTTACTTTTTTAATGTTTTAAAGATAAAAAGTATAATTTTTAATTTTGAAAAAATCTGAGAATTTTTGTTAGAAAATTGATTGAATTTTTCTTATTATGCAATGAGTGCATAATTTTAAATCAGAATATAAAAAATTGAATTTTTATAAAGAGAATAACAACGAAAATCAGGTAATTCATAAAATGAACTAAATTTTAAAACTAATGTTGAGAAGATATAAAATCCAATTCATTTTAAATATTAAGAATCAAGAGGTTTAGCAATATTACCCTTTTTTTGGGTATATCATATGCCATGTATGGATGTTAATCTGAGTCGGGCCTCTGTTCTCCGTTCTATCTGAACATTTGGTTCTCCAGGCCAAGATACGGGTTCTTGTACTGTTGGGCTCGTTGTTGCCAGTTTTGATCCTGATTTGTCTCTAATGAAATTAATTTCTTATCTTTTTTTATTCATTTTCTCTATGAAAATTTTATTACTTAATACCCCAAAAAGAAAGAGGAAAAAAAAAAAAAAAAAAACCTAGAACCTCCGTCAACATAGTCGACCATATGCCTGCCTGCCCTACCGGATCAACTAAGATTATATGTGCACGAGTCTTTTGTCTTTTTGTCCACCGGCAAATCTCCACTAACCTCTATTTTAATCATGAAAGAACAACTTCCATAATTATTGATCTCCTTTGTCAAGAAATTAAGGTAATCAATTAATTTAATTATTTCATATATCAATCATATCATCCCTCCCTTTATGAACAATACAACTAACAAATCTGACATGATTATGGCCAATCCATTATTGGGCCCAAACAATTTTAATTAGTCTGTGTATCAAGTTCAAATTTGGTTAAACTCATTATCTTACAAATTAAAGTTTCATAATTCATATGCAATTTTCTCATTATTGGGCCTAAACAATTTTTTAAGTATTTTTATTTTATATTAGAAATATGATTAATTATATTTAGAACGAGAATAATAAATTTTAATATTTTTCACTAAATAAAATTTAATTTTAAGATTTAAAATTTATATATTAATAGAAAATTCGTTCGGTGAGCGGGTTTACTTATTATTTGATCAATAATTTATTGATAGCTTGATTAATTATTTCATTCTCAGTTTATTATTGAACTTATAAAGAGTACTCAGCTACGCAGCTAGTATATAGCTACAGAGGGAAAGATTCTGAAATTTGTCCATCGCTGAAAATAAAGTTTTAAAAGGAATTCTTTTATCTTCTATCTTTTCCTTCGCTAGCTGCATGGAAATCAAGGAGTTGGACGGTCTCCAAAATTTCCACAATTTTGGATGCATGTGCATTAATTGTAGGAGCATAAGTAGGGCAATGGGCATGGAGAAGCCATAGCCAGTACTTTTTGTCTGCTTTCCTCTTTGGAGTTTCTGTAGTGGACAGAGGGCTGGCTTCATGCCTAGTAATGATCACTAAACTAACCAGAAAGAGGGGACTACACGACGATGATAAATAGTTTACTTTAAAATAATATGGGCCATGTTCATATGTCGTGGGAAGTGAATAAAATTTTAAGATCATTACGAACCCAAAGTCCCTTTGACATGACAATCATGTTGTAAGGAAAAAGATTGTGGATTGAAATAAACTCTGCATAACTTTTAATTAAAGAAATCTAATTTACTTTTCTTTACAATTAATTGCTACTTTCTATCATTAATAAAAGCCCTTAACATCTTCTAGATTCTCTTCTTTTATACGAATTCTGTCCATAATTAGTGATATCTTGTGCAGAACATCCATATTGCACGAATAAGTTGACTTGATGATTTATTTTTAGTGCACAAGCATATATATATATATATATATATATATATATATATATATATATATATATATAGTGTTGGACAAAATGATACACAAATGCGACCATATATATGTTTGACCCCACAAATATTGCTATTATTTGATATTAGAACCCAGAAGAAAAGGATATATGAACTACTCTGTTTTACCCCATTCCTGGTTGGTGCATTCGTTGAGCTATGCACGCAGAGAAAGTTTTGCACAATCCTAGTCTATTGATCTACAGAAGCTTGAAAATGCAAAAGTAAAAGGGACTTGTTCGTCTAGGAAATGATACGAAGTTTGAACCTGTTTTGAATTCATTCAATGCAGAAAGAAATGGATCACATCATTTAGGTTAAATTATTGGGCGTTTGTACGATCTTTTACAAGGTATTGCAGAAGGCATGCATTTGTCCGTTCCTGAAGTTATAGTTATGTCTGACTGTAAATTTATAAACAAAATCAATTCATGTATATCCAGCTATGGCCATGAATTGTCAATGGAAAGTTGTAAAATTATTCGAAAACATTATAGAAACCTTTTCGAAAAACAATATAAATCACTTCTTAAGACTAGAGGGAATATTTATAATAAACTCCCTTGGAATAATGTTATAGACAGATTCTTAGATAGACAATATATGATGCATACATGCGTGTATATGGAACCGTGATTATCAAATTGACGACCGAAAGGAAAAAGGCAAAATAGAAAGTCTCACATGAAAAAAGAAAGATTCAGAAGGAGAGGAAGCCTTATGTTCTCACATGAAAAAGTGAATTTATTCCAACCTATTTATATTCTTAATTTCCCCTCTTAAGGTTATCTTTCCATGGTTCCTCCTATGATTTGAAACGTTCCACTTTATCAAAAACAGTATAAAATTTATTCTCGCTACAGTTGCCTGTCTTCATGACTATCCAAGCCATAATTAAAGAGCAGCACTGATTTGTTGCAGAATAGCGTGCATGAAATCACCAGTTGGCCTGCCCAAACCACACTCCCAAGTCCCACCACAGCTTCGCGGCATCAATCCATGTTAATTCCTTGCTTCTTATCCCTCTTTCAGTGTTGGTCACTAACATGCTACTGTTTGTGGAACCATTGTTGTCTATAATGTGCATTGATGCATTGCAGAAGTTGTAGGGCATATGCCTTTCATCTGCTTCTTTCATGCTGAAAAAAAGAATAAGAGGTTTTCCAGTTGCTTACTTTATCAAAAGAGAACCAAAGCTGACTGTTTATCATGATGAACAAATTCGGTGCTACCGCTGTTCTTAATTTTAAGGCGTAACTTATATTCAGGAAACGATGAATAAGAAGAAGAAGAAGAAAAAAAAAGTGACAGTGAAATTATTTCTTCAGTAATTAAAAACTGTTGGTGTAAAATTAAGATTGCACATCTTGGTTTAAATCCAGAAAGAAGTAGAGCAGCTTTGATTATTTGATTACATACATATAATCTTGTATTAGAAAATAATATAAAACCATTTCTAAAAAATCAGCTAAAGGTAATTAAACATTGAATTGAGATGATTTTTTAATATCGTATCAGAATTTTGATGATCAAATGGTCACGATTTCGAATCTTATTACTTTAATTTATAAACACAAAATAATGATAGACATGTACGTTTCAATCTCAAAAAACTTTCACTTAAACATAATTTTTTCCTCCTCGTGTTCCTATTCCTAATAACAACACTTTTATAAACAAGATTGAAAAAAACAATTTTTTTTTCCCATAAAATTCTATTGGACAGGTTAAATAATAAAGAAAACGAATGTCATCTTCTTTTCGTATTATATTATAACGAATTTTGGAAGAATTTTTTTTTTTTTAAAAAAAAACTCTTTATTAAATTAAAAATTTGAAAAACAATATGTTAAAAAATAATATAAAAATAATATAAAATTATTTTTGTGTTTTTAGCTAGTGTTTTACACCCACACACACAAACGTACGATATAATGAATACAAACACATGTGCAAGTAATTGCTGCTATAAGTGAGTTTTTAATTGTTCCTTGATTATCATTATCAAAGATTCCAGAGGAAGCACTTGATTGATCACTTCTTAATTAATTAGAATGATTACCTTTCTTTATTGTTCGCCAAAAACTAATCGTACTTTCATTGGCACATTGCCAACAAATCAAGCAGTATTTTTGCCAAGTTTTTACTCACCAGTACAGGCTAGCAGCAACAGGAAGGTGTTGCTTAATTTATCCATCAAAGAAATTTACTATGCATAGAAAATTCCGAATATTAATAAACAAAGCAAGCTACTTGAGGGAAACATTTGTTTTTCTTCTAAAAGCTTCTCAATTATTGGTAGATGCACAAGAGATTAAGATATTGGACGCATCCCAATTATTGTTGACGAATGTTAGCATGGTTGGCTAATTAATCTGTATAGACCCGATCTGTACCATTTTCAAGGCAGGCACAGAGACTAATAAGAAGCTGACAGAGTGGTCTAGTCTTCTTTACGACTTAAGTTATTGAGTATAAAAAAACAAAGCGGCAAAGACAGGAAATCAATGGTTTATATATATGTTTCATGTTAAAAGCCTATTTTGATATGTTTTTTTCAAATACATGACTTCTTGCAGTGTCCCACCGTCCACTTCCGAAGGCTACCAACCTCCCATCTCCAGCAGTTTCATCCACTAACATCTTCTCTATCTCTCTCTCTACATCTCTAGGGATTCTCTAAGTCAACTTCTTTTCTACCTTTTTGTACTATAAATATCAGTTATCTCACTTCCTTCAAAACATAGAGACAAGCAAGTGCAAACTCAAGAGTGGTTAACTTCTCTAACTTGTTTGCAGTTACTATATATTATATTTATTTAGCCTTTTGACTGTTTTTGCTAATTTAGTAGAGTTATGGACAACGAAGAGGTTCCATCTGCTCCTTCAACCCCAGCAACACCAGGGACTCCAGGTGCTCCTCTCTTTGGTGGGTTCAAGGGGGAGAGAGGTGTGCATGGTAGAAAATCCCTATTGAGAAGTTGCAAGTGTTTCAGTGTGGAAGAATGGGCTATGGAAGAAGGAAGACTACCTCCTGTCTCTTGCTCATTGCCCCCTCCTCCTGTCTCACTAGCAAGAAAGGTGTGCATTTGTCCTGTGCAGACAATAAGGGAAAAAAAAAGAAAAACCTTCCAATGTTTTCCATTTTGTGTTCGTGTTCGTGTAACTTAACATCAACTCCAAAACTGCAGGTGGGAGCTGAATTCATTGGCACTCTTATACTGATCTTCGCTGGGACAGCCACAGCCATAGTTAACCAAAAAACACAAGGCTCAGAAACTCTCATTGGCCTTGCTGCCTCTACAGGACTAGCTGTAATGATCGTTATACTGTCAACAGGCCACATCTCTGGAGCACATCTCAACCCATCCATCACCATTGCCTTTGCTGCCTTGAAACACTTCCCATGGAAACAAGTACAAGAACATGAAAGACTCTTGAATTAGTGTTTTAAGTTCTTAATTTAGCAGTTTTGGATTAATATTAAAGTGGCTCTGTTTTGAACAGGTGCCAGTATATATTGGGGCACAAGTATTGGCATCACTATGTGCTGCATTTGCATTGAAGGGGATATTTCACCCTATAATGGGAGGGGGAGTCACTATTCCTTCAGGGGGGTATTCTCAAGCTTTTGCTTTGGAGTTCATTATTAGCTTTATTCTCATGTTTGTTGTGACTGCTGTGGCCACCGACACCAGAGCTGTAAGTACCAAGTACTTGCCTTTTTCTTGATTTAAACCTTTTCAATCGAGTACTAAGAATACCCTTTCTTTTGCTTCTTAAATGCCAAAACCTGGATTTAAACCCGACTTCTAATACCCTTCTTCAAGTGTATTTACTTTTGCATTATAGTCTTATTTATATGGGTAAATTACACATTTTTTTTTCAGAAAAAACACACAAAAAAGAAGAAGCATATTTAACTCATCTAATCAAACATCAATTTTCTTTACAAACTCATTCAATTTCTTATGAAGCATGTCCGAATTAGAATATTTGTAAAAAGTAATTGCCAACTTACACAGATTCGTATTAACGGGGGTAAAAAAAAAAAAGGAAGGTGGTACTTCATCTCGAGTTTGCAAACCGTTTTCCACTAACCATTTCAAATCACTCAACAAAGAGCAGTTTTCAGATTAATGGATTCTTGTTTTAACAATGAGGGACTATCTGATTGGAGATGGATTTAAGGTAGGTAAATCCTCTCTCCTTTTCGACTCTTTATTTTTTCCTTCAAAATCACTTCCCAGACAGACCCTGTATATTTTCCAAGAGGCAGAAGTCTATAAAAATCTCTCCTTTGCAGAGAGAAACAGACAAGAGTCATTTAAGATGGTTGGCAGGCAGCCTGTAATCCCCCATCTTCCTATGAATAAACAATACAAATAGTAGCATTGATTGATAGAACCAATAGCCCTAGAATGGATCAAGATCAATTTTACATTTATCTACAGAAATAAAATATGTACTGATCAATTTTATTACTTCCTCTCTCTCTCTCTCTCCCCACACAAATGTGCATCTTAATTTGTTCTCTCTTTCTTGTCCAACATTGTATATCATACATAAACCACAGCTTTAATAAAATTGTAATGTGTTACAATGAAGAAAATGGAGGATGAATCAAGCATCCATAAAACATCCTATCCATAATACTTCACAAGAAGAACAGAAACCCCCTTTCTCCCATGTTTTATACAGTCACACATGCACACAACACATTCAAATAGATGCATAAAATTGTCAAACTTGGCGGGTCTGACAAAATTTATGGCCATGTGCAGGTGGGGGAGCTGGCGGGAATCGCGGTAGGGGCTACTGTAATGCTCAACATACTCATAGCTGGGTATGTCTCTACTAAACTCTTCAATTATTCTTGCACTATTGATCTGATTTGGTAGAGTCCAAGAAGTAACAGCGAGCAAAAAGCAGCGTGGTCAAAACACTGTAAAGAACATGAATATTTAAGTACTGTAGTTAGCAAGAATATGAAATATATGAAAAAAGGCGAATCCAAGAAAGCTACCGAGTCAAAACCCAGTTCAGGTATAAGATTAACCCATCCATATAAGTTGATGTGAGAGACATAACAGTTAGCATAATTTTTTGTGGTCCAGAGCCTACAATGATTGTTTCCATTTGTCAAAATTGAAAATGATCTATGATTCAGGCCATTCTTTTCCATGTTTATGATAGTTTGTGTCAAATCAAATATTAAAAATAAAAAGATAGCAAAGAGAAAAGGATTCTTTGTTTTCCTGTGCATAAAATAGTAAATGGAGCTTTTTTTTTTATTCATTTGAATTTTATGCCAATGGCAAATACTACATAGATTAAAACATCTAAACCTCATTAGCATATTGGACTGCCTTCTTTTTCTTGTGCAGGGAAACAACAGGGGCATCCATGAACCCAGTCAGAACATTAGGGCCAGCCATAGCTGCAAATAACTATAAAGCCATATGGGTTTACCTCACTGCCCCAATCCTTGGGGCACTGTGTGGAGCAGGAACTTACTCTGCTGTCAAGCTGCCAGAGGAAGATGGTGATACTAACGAAAAAACATCAGCCGCAAGGAGCTTCAGGAGGTGATTATTCAACACAATCAATAAACCTACCCAAATAATCCCATAATGCTGTTAGATAAAAGTGCAGATGAGGAAAACAAGATGAAGCTGCTGCACATTGCGTTCTGGTGGGTCTATACACAAAATTAAGATAAAATGTGAATAGGTTGGCTTTTACTAACGTATATGAAGAAATTACTTTGTGGAGCTAGCTATCAGTTGGAGGTGACATGATGTTGTCTTAAAATACCTGAAACTAAATTGTGCACACACATGAGATGGAGAGGTTGAGAAGTGGGATGGTTATTTCCATTATTTGGCCTAGACAAAGAAAAAGAGTTTGCTCTTTACCGACAAGTATGATAACAAATTCTGTAACAAAATGGTCTAAGAAAGACCATTTGAGGGCTTCAAAACATGTCATTCCATTTTCTCTCCTTCTTGATTTTCCTTTTCTGTACTAGTTACCCAATGCGCAAATCATATTGCTCCTAGCCTCTCTTATATTTCTCCCCTCCTTAGGCCTCCAAATAATGTCTTCCAACAGAAAACGTTAGGAAGGCTGCTTTCTAGAATAACTCCTTTTCCTCTCCTCCTTACCCTGGCCAGCTTCTGCCTCAACTTCTAATGACATAAGTCCTTGCAAGAAAATCTTGGTTTTTAATCCTCATACCCCAAGAGACTTCTTATTCCACATTCTCGAGTGACTTTTGAGAACCCTCTCTTATCCACCACGAAGTTAATGTGCCATCAACATTTCCAACACTCACCCTGTTCCACCAACCTTTCAAGAGATCCTCAAAACCTTCCACCTTGGGCATTGGGCACCTTAAAAAATTTTAAACTGCAACGGAGTTGGACCATCAGAGAGATTTCTCATCTCCAGCGAAAAGGAAGGTGATCTGAGATTTGGCTAGGAAGTAAAACTTGAGGTCATTGTTAGAAAATGCTCTCCTTACCCCATCAACATGAAGAAACGACCGATCCTTGAAAGACCAGGGTTCACCATAAAACTGGAAATAAAGATCCTTGCATCCAAGGAAGATTCATCAACTGATTCATAATCAATAGTTACTGCACACCGAGTTTTGGTGGGTCTGCACACAGATTGTCCAATATCTCCCTACTTCTCTCAAACAGATATGCTAAAAATCACCAACCAATAAATAATGAAGATCTTATCTCTGCCTAATTCTAATCAAGTCAGCCCAGAAAAGCGCCCCTAGGGTCTCCAATGCCAGACCACAAACAGTTGTGACTCTCATTTAAAACAACCATTCAGCTCTTTAACAATATAACATAGAAAATTGGACAACCCACTGATCCAACATCTCTAAAAATATTTATCAACACAAAAAATGACCTTCGAAGCTGCCAAAAACAGAAGGGGGAAAAAACGAAAGTTGATCTCCAACGTCAATAAATCATTCGCGAACATGGCGCTAAGCCAGGCTCAAAGACAGTGACACGCCTATTCTAAACTATTTGAATAATATGTCCAGACATCTCGAAGTAGAAAGATCTTGTATTATTAGACTATTCTAAAAACCATTCTGTTTAGGAAGTAGATCGTTAGTCTCCTAAGTAGTTGGGGTTAATTTGCTAAATACTAGCTGGCTCTATAATTTAGGGATTTTATATGAATCTTTCCTTATGAAGCACATGAAGCTATTCATATCTGCTTATAAATATATACTTTCTTACCTCAATGTATAGTGAAAAAAATACTCTCTCCTGGAGAGTTTCAATTTTGTGATGATATAATTACACCATCAAATTTTTGTTGAGAAACTAAAATTGACTAAAGTGGCAAACTGCTAGGCGTAGAAAAATTTTCTGCCCATTATGGAACTCCACCCTAATGCTTAACTAAACAAAATAGTTAATTAAGATAACCTGTTATAGTTTCATCTAGGCATGATCATGTTTCTAAACATACTCAACAGATAGAGAGCCATGTAAAAGAAAACTTAACTCCATATTATCTGCGATGATTAAGTGACACATTGGATACTCTACAGCACTTACTGGCCATTTTATAACGTGACATTTCTTTTGTAGTGACCAATGTAATTGCCTATCAACAAGCATTGTTTTATTTAAAAGATCAAACATAAAAATCCATTAGCACAAAAAAGAAAACTTTTCTTAGCAGGCATGCGTTTAAATTGGGCACCATCAGACCCTTGTGCCACAAACCCTGAAACTGAAATCTACCAGTTATCATACAGAAAAAAACTTGTCTGTTGTTCACAAAATTATGTAAGTTGTAAAAGTGCCAGATACATGCAAAACACTTAAGACAACTCTATTCAATCAGGCAACTTACCACAAATATCTCAAAGGCTCATATCTCAATCCATAAGTAACAAGGCTAACAATTTTCTGTCTTTCCACGAACATGAGAATTATTAACCATAGTATACAATGATCCTGCATTCGTCTTTCCCCTTTATGAATCCTATTTTCCAGTTGAACTGAACATACACAAAAAGTTGAAAAACAATTAACTCTCACATTGAAGCCAGAATGTTCAAAAGGACAACACTACTTGTTCAAGAAAGCCTCTTTCGCTTCTCAGAACTTTCCAGTAATCACGATCAAATAGAGTTCACCAAGATAGCAATAATCCAATACAAAAGCATAAAAGAAAGGTGCTAGTGCTAAACAACGCAGAAATTGTCTTTATGGCAGCGTGGAATATAGTATTACATTGCTGAATCCTATTGTCACAAAAGAATTAAAAGATTTAAACCTTTGACGTACAAAATAGGAAACTAACCTCAAGCGATCCTCTGTCTTCTCCATAAGACAAACAATAATTCAAAACTCTAGACTCTACTTTCCTATTCTTCACTTTCTTAGCAACCAAACATACTTTTCGTTCCCTTCAAAAACCCGAAAAAACCAATTTTCCACCAAAAACACCAAGCCCCAAAAATAATTTAACCGCAATTGGCTATCAAACCGGCAAAACCCGCCGAGTCTGACCCGAGCCCGAATCGGATCCATCGGTTTTTTTACTTTTACACATGGAGAGAGCTGCCACAGCAATCAATACACCAATGACATCCGCTAAAGCGTCCTTGGCAGAGGCGCCAGCGGAGGGAAAGAGGCCAATTTGGTCTGCTGCCTCCTTGGTGGCGCCGGCGAAGAGGGAGAGAAAAGCACCGACCCGAATAGAGTGGCGCTTGAGAAATGGGTAGCGAGTGAGGGAGGCTAGCTTGGAGAAAAAGAGGGTTAAAGAGAGACAAAAGAGGACATGGTATAGCTTGTCTGGGGCTAGCCATGGGTCATCATCGCTGTCCCCCATTTTTGTTGGGTAGGAGGAAGAGTTGAAGTTTTGAGTTGGAAGGAGAGTTTGCTTTTGAAAGACGGGAAGAGAAATGGAGATATATTTGAACCTTGTCTGCTTTTATAGTTTTGGGGTTTCATTTTTTGGGTTTTAATAAATTTTTTTGTTTTCAATAGTGTTATAACTAATGAGTAATTTGTTATTTTTCAAAATTGATTGGTTGTATTTATTTTGAATGCTTATTGTTTATCACAAATTATATTCTAATATTTTATTTTTAATATATTATATTCTGATTTTTCATAAATTAACGTATCAATTTATCATATCCTATCAAATTCGTGTTTATATGCTATAGATCAAGATTTCTAGTAGATCTTAAACATTAATATGAAACCGAATTAGGCTTGATTGTTCGGTCTTTTGTCGGGCAAGATTAGTTTCTTCTTCATGTTTTCATCCGTGGTTAAATTATGGGGAATGGAACTCTATAGACATAGATGAGTTTTGGATGACTTGGCAATTCACGTGCCGTGAGAAAATGATATAAAAACGCCTTCAAATTCATCAACTATTTTCTTGACGGTGAGAAGATCTTCTAACTCAACTGGGATTGCAGTATGGCCTTTTTACTATATAGCTTTTCATGATTTGGTCTTTGACACGGTTAAGTTAGCGTTAGATATTTTTGATGAGTAACTTCTAAGTTGAACTGTTGCCGTAGAAAGCACTGTTCACCATAATAATAATCTTTAGAAACATTGTTCAATGCCGTTTCCTTGCATCAAATAGGTTTTGTCCGAAACATGAGAGAGTTCTAACAACACACAGTACCAGGCTAGCCAAAGCCAAAGTTGCTGCAGCACATTGATAATAGAACGGAACAAGAAGAGGATTTCGTTAATGGCAGCAACAAGAAGCTGTTTCCAAAGTACGGTAAAATTAGAACCGAACGTTTAACTTGGCTATAGAAAAAGGCACAGCACCAAAGCTCAAGGCCTACAGGCTACATGTAAAACATATACACCGTTTGCATGCTTAAAATTCTCTCGATCCATCCACAAACGCTAAAAATAACTGCTTGATATATTACACGCACTATTCCTGCTTTGCCCTGAACAAGATCAAACTATACAGTTTTTTTCTTTTCTTTTCAGAGATGGATGCTCAAATGCAGATTCAAATGATGGCACAAGATAAGCTAAACCATCATCTTCATGAATAACTGACAAAATGAACCACGAGCTTATTTGGTAACCCTGGTTGATCCAAGGCTTTGAACAAGGTCTATAAAAGTTGATGTCAATACAAAATGAATAACTTTGTAGTGACCTTTGCAAGGCATATCATTAATGCTACAGGGGAGATAATACAATGAATTAACCACTAGGGATGTCGATATAGACTCGGACAAAAAATACAACCCTCCTTGATCCAATTTAGAACAAAAAAGAAAAAAAAAAGAAAAAAAGATAGGGTTGTCTCCCCACAAGCAAATTCCAAGCACAAACACCATGAAATTCTTACTTGGCCAACCAGTAAATAAAAATAAGGAAAGTGCATATGGATGCAACCAGCGAAAGTATGATCGTATCCATTGACTTTCTCCTCTTTATTGCTGACAGAATTTGATTTACCTGCATTGTTACGTCAAAGAAGTTCGTCAATCATTACAAGTACATACATGGGAGTGTAAATGAAAGTCGATTTAAGTCATGGGGAAAAGATCATTTCATTGGGTTAATGGCATAGGGTGGGAGGAGGGGAAGCAATAGAAAACAGAAATTACAGCAGAACAATGGCTAAAACGAGAAGAGAGTTGAAATTGGAACAAGATAATTGGGTTTAGGGTTCATAAGAAACCTCTAAAACCTGAATAGATTGATAAAATAACAAAGAACGTCCTTTAAAATAACCCTAGTCCTATTTATTCTTGTTAAAATCCTAACCTCTAACTATACGTCACATGCTAATCACATGACAGCTAAAACTCCAATTAATACCAGAACTCCTAAATTAAATAAGAAAACCAAAACTAACAAGGAAGTTACTAAAAAGCACCTGCATCAGTTAAGCAATCGCCTTAAAGTGATGCGATCTTGTTTATTCTAGCATGCTAAAGGAGATCCCTTTCTGGTACCAAAGATGCCATCTAGACATTTTTTAACAGCTGCTTATTAGGCAGCTTTTATATTCAGCAACCAACCTCTTATCAAGCATCTCAACTTGTTTTATACCATTTATGTGCTATAGAATGCAGAAAGAAACAAATCTGTTCAAGGCTTCCTATATGAGATTCAAGGCATTGCTTCATTCAGCAATAAGGAAATGTTTAAAATATTATTGATCACTTCAGCTATGTTTTGCATACCGTTGGGAGGCGGCTGCTAACATTACTCAGCTTTGAATTAATTCCTCCAAAAGTTGAACGTTGAAGCACAAGCACACCAAGAGTTGCTTGAGCTTGTGAAATCACATTATCCATCTGCAGCACCAGAACACAAGGAAAGGAACAAGGAACTTTAATAAAAAGCACAAGTTGCAAATTGGCAGTTTTGGTTAAATTTCCTGCTTCAGATTTTTTTTCTGCATAAAATAGACACTTTGGATTGCATATACATGTTGACATGGAGCATGCAACTAGAGACATAATATAATAAGCACTTAAAGTGCTTGGGACGGCATGAGAATGAAACCACCCAAAAGTTCCAAACATAACCTGAACGTTTCACAGTTTCTATTATTTTGGATGTATTATGTCAGTGTTTCATTGCAAGAGAAAATGAGAAATCTGACAGATTGAGGATGTGGAAGCCCACACATTACCACAAAAAGAAAAGCCCTTTGGCATGTACCTGACCAGTATTTCGGCTAATGGATGCATGCTCTCTAAGAAGAGCTTGATCTGCAGAACCAACACCATCTTCCAAATCTAATCTTGTTCGATCAAACTCCCTAAAATCCTCCAGAAGCAGAGCATGTTCCTGCTTAGCTTTCATGCCAGAACGGAGACGATGAAACTCCTGCACTTAATCATGCATAATTCCAAGTTAGTTCAAATGAATATAATCCACTGCATTGCCAAAGATTACACATTTCCTGTTGTGTCTTTTTTTTTTTTTTTTTTGGGGGGTGGGGGGGGGTGGTTTGAATGAGTTGAGGCCCAAAAAAGAAGAAAAGAAGTGGGAGTTAAAAAATCATAGTCATCAACATTTTTTTAGTTTTTGATCCATCAATTTCAACTCCAATGCAATAAAAAAAAAAATAATTCTGTTTACTCTAGCAAAGGTTAAATGGACAATGATTGTTCAATTGTAAACCAAATAACTTATCAGTGTGAAAGATTTATGTGCTTCTCTAAACAGGTGTGTGCATGAAAGCAATAGCTGAGACAATGCCCAAATGCAAAACTCCTTTGACAAACATGTCAGCTTCTTAATATTGTCATGTGAAACCAGAAAAATTCAACTTATCTCCATCATAAACCAACCAGCATAATGATACCTCCTTTTGTGGGTATTCTTGATTTTCAAAGGACAATGAGGTATAAAGCCTGCTTGATTCATTTGTAGTGAAATTAAACAATAAAAAGAAAACCCATCCTAGGGAAAAAGAAAAAAGGAAAAAAAACAAATAGTATAATTAGTTTCAGCTTCTAGAGATGCAGGGTTATCTTCAATAAAGCAACTCAAAGGATATTCGAGGACAGTAAGAAAAAGGTCACATATTGACTGGAATACCTGAGTAAGATCTTGAAGAATTTCCTGATGCCGAGTCAAGGTGTGAGAAACCATTTCTGATCCTCCAGATGATACCCATGCTTGCATCTGTGAATTTACTTGTTGGAGCTGTTTTAATAATCTGTCTATCCCAGATTCAAGATCATTCTCGGCAGAATCAACTATTGCAGAACCCTTTGATGATGCCAGTTTACGAAATGAGTTCATCTGCTCATCCAGCTGAGCTTCAAGTTTCCTCGCCTGCAATAATATCTCAGAATATCATTTACAACGAGATCTAAAACTCTAGCTAGAAAGAATTAATATCAAGAAGAAAACATAAGAAAAGAACACAAATTATTTACAAACGAACTTGTAAACCAACCATAATAATTCCATGTACGAAGACATGAAAGGATATTGGGAAAGATAACTAGGACTCCTTAAGTTTTTAGTGCAGTTATTGCGTTCTCTAAAAGCTTTGTTCCTGAGGTTTAAGTACAGTTACAGTTTGACCATCAGGAGTGTTGTTAAATGCAGATGTGACTACTTCCAGTTTAAGAAGTAATATTATAGATTTGAAACTACCCTTATGAAGAAGTCATACATCAATGTTATTCGGAACTAGATCTGAAAGGTTTAACTAATCTATTTTCATCCCTGAAAAAAACAAACATTTGAATAAAATTAATCTCATAATTGAACCATGTCTTGAAATAGAATAGATAAATTCATAGATTTCTTGATGTTCTCAACTATCCAAACAAAAAGAAACTCAATTCTCCAAAACCCATTGCATAATAAGAGCATCACCAAATAAGATGTTCAAACTACCCATGGAGCAGGGTCTTCAAGGCTTCAGGAAACTTCAGGCAAACAGTGCCCAAGGCATTATCACTCAAAGGCAAGATCCCTATCCCTAGTACCCTAGAAGTAGTTCTCGGCAAGAATTGTTATGTACTTATATCTAACATTGGATGTGAAATGATCCCTCCATCATTGAAAAAGATGACCATCCATTCATTTCACCACAGGAATCCTACTTTGCATCACTTTAAGTAATCTAAATATAATTGAAAGTAGCCAAGCCTCACGACCATAAATCAACGTGTTCCAGAACCTATCAAGTTTGCCACAACCATTCACATACTGTATTACCCTTTTCCCAAAACAAAGTCAACTCCACACTGTAAATTCTAATTCCAAACCAGTTGGGATCGATCAGCTTGAAAATCTTTCTTTCCCCATTCCATTCAATTGTAGATCAAACAAGAATTCTAAGAAAATCACTGTGAAACCAAATCCTTTCCGCTTCTACGCAATTATATTATATCACATGATCCTCTATTGCGTTTTAACATATCCCTCCTTACCATTCTCATTTTCAGCCTTCAACAGCAAGACATTAACCTTGCTGAATTTCTGGCGTCTAATATAGCTTAAAAGCAAGCAAACTCTAGGTCTAAAAGTAATTCTATGCTAGGCTAATAGCTCCGTCTGTATCTACGCATACGCAATAATTCTCAACTCAATTTTTTTTTAATGCATCGAAGAATTAGAAAGAGAAAGCATCGAATTAACGAAATTAAAACAAAAACAAAATCGAAAATTTGATTCGAATCCATAAAAAAAGAAATCAGCAACCAAACAGAAGAAGTATTTATAGAGAGAAAGAAATGATGAAATAACTAACCTGCTTGCGTAAAGCGTCCCATGAAGTAGTCACTTCCATTGCAGATCTCTCTCTTTATCAAAATTCGTTTCAATTCTATTCTCTGCTATTCTATGATCACAAAATTGAATTTGAGAAATGAGAATTTTGAGATAGAAATTCGTGGAATTAAAGAATGATAGTAAAAATTAGGGATCTATCGCGGAGGAATAATAAGAAGATGAAATTGGGGTTTGTTTGGAGACGGAGACAGGTAGTCTACCGCTCGCTCGCCCTCAACGGCAATTTGTGTAGAGACGGTACTGCTATTTGCTTAATTCCCAATTCATGGTGTCTATGTTACTCTATGTTTGTTCTCATTTTAACACCTTTTCTTTTTTTCATTTTTTAAATTTACCTATCCCTTCTTAGCTTTTTTTTTTCATCGAGCTTGCCCTTTTTACGAAATAATGAATCAATTATAAATTAGACCCTATAATTTGCAAAACAAATTAAATAATCCGTCTAGTTTTAAAATTAATTAATTAATCCCTTAACTAATATAAAATCATACTTAATTATATATCTTCGTTTTTCATTATTCCTTCTATATTATCTATTTTCTTATTTAAAAAAATTGGAAAAAATGAAATGGAAAAAAATGATTAATTTAGAAATAGATTTAAATACATACAAACTAACTAATTAGTTTGTGAAATTAGAATAACTATTTAATTTGTTTAGTAAAACTAGAGAGACTAATTTATAATTTCGTCATGAAAAAATAGGAATAAATTATAAATCAATTACTCTCGTTTCGAGAAAAGAATTAATTAGTCCTATTTATTTTAAAAACTAATCATTTAGTTTCTTTTATTAAATTAGTGATTTTTTTAAATTATTTTTTTAATGTCTTATTTTCGTCTTCCACTCACTCCTTTTATTTCTCCTTAACTAAAAGAAAAAAAAATTAAAATAAAAACCACTAATCTAATAAAAATTGATAAAAAAACTAAGTTATTGAAGAAATTAAAATCGCTCACTCCTTTTATTTCTCCTTTAACTAAAAGAAAAAACAATTTAAAATAAAAACCACTAATCTAATAAAAATTGATAAAAAAAGCTAAGTTATTGAAGAAATTAAAATGTGAGGAACTAAATGATTAGTTTTTTAAAAAAGAAAACTAATTAATTTATTTTTCTAAACAAGGACTAATTTATAATCTATTAAAACAAAAAAAATGTAACTTTCTTTCCTTTTTTTTTTTTTCCTTTTAATCTTAGTCTAGTTAAGGAAAGACTATTATCTTTTTCTTCAACTATATGACACTTTCAAAATTGTATGACATGGTTGTACTTGTTCGGATGGAGCAAACATACATTAAAGTTTGAAAGAAGACAGAGAAAGCTACCTTAGTTGGTAATTGACTGTATGGTCGAAGCACTTCCAAAGAAAACAGCAAAAAGAACACTAGGCTGTTAGTGATTAGTGATAAAAAGAACTCGGGGAGAACAGTGACATCAAGCTAGATTTTTATGACAAGATCAAATTTTATTGCTAGACCTGTGTACAAAATTAACAAACCAATGTATCTTCTAAATTAATAGGCAGAATTTGAAACACAACTGCTACGTAGCAGCAGCTGCTGTATGTTACAAAAGTGGCCAAGAAGTTGGAGGGAAACCCAACTGACCAACTAAGAACAGCTCTCCATCAAGAAACCCAACTACACAAGGCAAGTTGCGATTAAAATGGCGTAGCCATTGCTTCTGAGACAAAAATGCAGCCTTAGTATCAGGTGACTTTCTTTCTGCTATCATAGCTAGCTGATAGTCTTCCTGCCCATGGGCTCTAATTTGGCGACCAAGAAAGTGGAAACCCAAGAATGGCACACCATCTTAAACTCAAAAGGGCAACAGCATTATACTCCTCGAAATCCAACCACATAAGGCAAGTTGCAATTAAAATGGCGTAGCCATTGCTTCTGAGACAAAAATGCAGCCTTGGTATCAGGTGGTTGCGAGTATCAGGTGACTTTCTTTCTGCTATCATAGCTAGCTGAAAGTCTCCTTGCACATGGGCTCTAATTTGGTGACCAAGAAAGTGGAAACCCAAGAATGGCACACCATCTTAAACTCAAAAGGGCAACAGCATTATACTCCTCGAAATCCAACTACACAAAGGCAAGTTGCAATTAAAATGGCATAGCCATTGCTTCTGAGACAAAAATGCAGCCTTAGTATCAGGTGGTTGCGAGTATCAGGTGACTTTCTTTCTGCTATCATAGCTAGCTGATAGTCTTCTTGCCCATGCACTCTGATTTGGTGACCAAGAAAGTTGAAACCCAAGAATGGCACACCATCTTAAACTCAAAAGGGCAACAGCATTATACTCCTCGAAATCTTTAAAAAGCTCAAGTATTCGAGACTCAGCTTCGCTGTCTTCCGAAAGGATCAAATCCTCAAGTTCTGCCTTATTTTCTTCCAAAAGGCAATCTTCTAGGCTAATCATCCGCATGCTCAAAACTTGCAATGCTTCCATGGCCATATTATCAAAACCGCAATACACATATGCAGAGAACACGCTATAGCAGGTTGTAGGATCAGGCTGGATTTTCTCCCGGTGCATCTGCTCAATGATAAGCTCAATAACATCGATCCTTCTCTAGATGTTTAAGAAACAAAACAATGCTTAGTTGCTTGGCAAAAGGATCGTTTCGGGGAAAAAAGAAGGCAAGACAAAGACAACATGCCATGTCACTGTAAATTATAATTGTCAATTTTTAATGTCTGTGTTTAGGGTGCATGAGTGTGTGTGATAATAAATACCTTATCTTTTGCTCTCTGAAGAATGGGATTATACAAGAGTACATCAAGTTCAATCTCTTCCGTATGCCCTTGATCCAAAAGATATAATGCTTCATCAAAATCATTATCTTTCAACAAAATCTGAAAGAAGATAAGATAACAGTCAAATTATTGTTTAACAAGAAGTCACTTATAGGTTAGCACTACCATCAAAAAAAAAAAAAGTCAGATAACCAATGGCACATACACTAGTAAATACTAAAGTATAATCTCACCTTTTCATGCTCTCACATTCTTGGACCTAGTAAGTTATAGGGCGGGGAATCACGACATGTACAATCCTAATGGCACAAACTATTGAGTTATGGCAATTTAAGGTTTTTACTGTAAATTTTGGTTATTTGGACCCCGAACTATTATTTTCTGTGCAAATATTATCCTTTCTCTGTTATTTTTAGCAGTCAAAGCACTGACCCTTAAATTGGCATCTTTTAAGCATTCAAGTTTTTTTTTTTTTTTTTTTTTTTTCCCTCCTCCTCCTCCTTCTGCTGGTTAAAAATTCGCCTAAATTATTGGGATTATGACAATTTAAGATCTTTATTACCAATTTGGGTTATCCTTCCTCTGTTATTTTTTACAGTCAAAATGCTGGATATTAACTTGAATGCTTAGACGACCAATTTTTTTAATATAATAATGGTTAATATGAATGACATGTCGTCTTTAGACACTATTAAATTAACTAAATTAATTGAACTGAACAAAGAGAGACTATATTATTAAAGTGTTGTTATGATTACTTGTAGAACTTATGCTTTCCTATAACAACATTTTAGACCCGATTCATGTCTCTTGTTATAAACTCTTGGTTTAAAAGATTGCAACTTCTTTTTCTCTTTCAGTTCAGTTCAATTAATTCAATTGATTTAATAGTGCCTCAAAACGACATATTGTGACATATTAAGACGAAATGTCATCCGTATTAACTAGTATTATATATATATTTTTAAAATTCTTTTCCAAAAAAAAAAAAAAAGAGATGTTTAAACGACATCGTTTAAGCATTCAAGTTAATAATCAATGCTTTGAAGGTAAAAATTAACAAAAAAAAAAAAAAAGGAATAACATTTACCTAGAAAATAATATTTTAGAACCCAAATAACCTAAATTAATAGTAAAGGTTTAAATTGCCATAACTTCAATAGTTTGAGAGTGATTTTTGCCACTAAACAAAATAAAATAAAAAACTAGAATGCTCAAACGACGCTGTTTAAGCATTCAATTTAACAATCAACACTTTGATCTTAAAAAATAACAAAGAATAACATTTACTCAAAAAATAATAGTTTGGGGCCTAAATAACCCAAATTGATAGTAAAAACCTTAAACTATCATAACCTCAATAGTTTGGGAGTAATTTTTGCCATTAAACCTCATTTTAGTAGATAATCAATTGCTATCATGTCCTACAGCCCTTGGAGGCTTAGCCCTGGTGGTAAGTGGGTTTACTCCCCATGTTATCGTCATGGGTTCAAATTCTAAAAGAGGCTGTGAAAAAGTAACTTCTTGTGGATGCACCATTCCAGGTATGGATGGTTTGCTTAATGCCCAACCTGGGATTGGGAGGGACTTGGTCACGATGCATGGAAGCTGGCTTAAAACCCAAATAATAGTGATGTTCTATAAATGTGTGACAACTAGAGGCAGGACCTTCTGGAAGCAATGCTTGCTAACAGAAGTATAGTGATATCTCATAAGCCTGGCAACTAGTATATGATTGTTGCCATAGAGGAATGAGAAAACAAGAAAATACAGGTGGAGAGTACTTGTATTTATGCGCAAAATTTCTGCATTATATTTCACCTAGAATAAACGATGTTAACAAGCAATTAAGTGCACAGAGTGATGGCACGCCAACTACATGAACGTGGAAATTTGGAATGTTTGTAAAGGACATGATAACATAATAAGTGTGTTTAGGGAATTTATACAATCAAGTGTCAAAATTTATTTTTTTTCAAATGGATGTGTGGACTCTCAAAATTGTAATAATCAAGTGAAATTTGATGAGATGGCTTGTATGACAAGAAAATATTGTTGAGGTGTCATTAAGTGATGAGGTGGCAATTATGACATGGATATTATGCAATGATGTGGCAGATTAGTGATGACATGGAACCATGCATATTTTTGTGTTTATTAAATCTACAAGGCACACGGCCAGAGAGAATGCAAATACCTTTATGAGAATAGTGTATGTCACTGCCTGTGGATAAAACCCAGAACGCAACATCATGGAAACCAGTGCGCAAGCAGATTTATAACATCTTCTAGTGCAACAACAATCAATCATTATATTGTAAGTTGCAGCATTTGGCTCAAAACCACTTGATTTCATATGTTTGAATACCGCAATTGCCATATGACACTGCACGTCAGCCAGAAACATAATTTGTAGCATAAGGCAGGAGTATTAACCCACAGGTCATCAATTAGCAGTGGAAATGCATAACGCAGAAGCAGAACCACTTACTTCCTTAGCCTCAACAAGTGAATGCAGCACTGTATTATAAATAGGTATTCCCAGAAAAGTGTTCGTGTGATAGAAAAGATCTTCTGCCATATGTAAATATTGCATTAGCTCTCTCATCATCCCTTCTTTTCCAAGAGCTTTCAACTGGGGGCAAACAAAGAGGAATCGATTTATAGACTATTCTAAGCAACAGAAACATAAAATTTTAAACAGGACAGTTTCAGTTCAAAATGCAAGGGCAAGAGGAGTGCACTGCATGGACAGATGAAAGTTGATGCCAGAACAATTCAAGAGCTAGAGATCAACATTTTTATATTGTTAAGCAAAATGTGCTTCAAGAGGATCATCTGAATTTTGTCAAACAGATTGTTGGACTCAAGATACACTAAAATCAGAAGCCGTTAAAAGAGGAATCCTAGGACCCAGAACATAGATACCAAGCAGCATTTTCCCATCCAGCAGATTTGATGTGTCAATTCATTTGGAAGACTGTATAGATAACTATAGCCTGAAAGCATCCAAATCTTGCTACCATACTGCGCCATGGAAACAGTGTTTATGCAATTACAACCGTCAAATTTTTTTCATCAATCACAACAGTACAGGTCCCACTCAAAGCAGCATCAATGGAATTCACTACATTAAGAAGGTACCCAACGGGGAGCCACCTTATCTTACAAAAAGAAAAACAGAAAAAGAAACCCTCCCCATCATGCCAACAGTGTTCCAAAATGTATGCCAATAAGCTAAAAAGAAAAGAAAATGCAGCATTAGTTCTTGTGCTTTCCTACTATACCATTCATTACTGAAAACTATACCTAGGAAGGTATCTTCTGAGAAGTTAAAAAAAAGATAAGGATACACAACATTTATTAAACATTCTGAACTTTAGTGCATGGTTAAAGACACACGGTGGAAAATAGGGCATAACTAATGATTGATTAGCTTTTCACATTTTCTCAGTGGGTGGAATTTATCTTCCCACTCAAGGTGATCAAGAAAAAAGACAGATTCCAAGAAATTATTTCTTGCAATCTCAATGCCCACATAAAAGGTTAAAAATACAAGTGTGCAGCATGGAGTTACCAAGTTCGTCATTGATTCCTGATTGTGCTGGACATTGTTTTTTACCATATCCTTCTCTATAGCCTTTATTCGCTTAGCAGTGTCTACATGCGACAGCATATTGGCCTCCTCATATGGAGCATTCACATTACCAAATAATGAAAACAGTTGCTTATATGTCCAACAATCTGGCTGGACCTTTAGTTGTTTCATTTTAGCCAACATCTGCACAGCACGTTCAGGTTGATCCTGCAAAATTAACAGACCGAAATTTTCCACTGACAATGAGATCATTCAAGTGTAGTACTAGAATACATCAATTGGGTGATTCAACAAGATAAGTTTTGCGAATGAAATTACAAGTTGTTAAAAACCACTAACAATCATATGGTACTGTCACTGTCACTAGCTAATACGAAAATTTATTTGATATTCTCTGGAACATATCAAGCGAAGATGATCTGTAATCACCAGTCAATAACTATTAGACTTAACATCCACAGTTTCAATTTATCAGAGAGGAATGACAAGGCACTCTTCATCTTTGTTATAAAAGAAAATTGCCTTCCATATATTCATGCAAAATTTCTCACTGAAAAAGAAATTAAAAAAGAGGTGGCGCAAGACCAGTGTGAAATATCAGGTTGGAGGATGTGTTTAGCTCACCATTGCATTGCATGCTTCAAGAAATGCATTATAAGGATATGGAAATGGACAGTTGGTAATTTGATCCAACAGAACCTCTGCTAAATTCAGTTCCAATGCTCTGCTGCAAGCCACTGAAATGATTGCAAGAGTTGAATCACGTGGCTTCAAATTCCTTTGTTGCATTGTGTTTAACTGTGGAGAACAAAACTAGTTTATCTATCCGAGACAAGAAAGTCCATGTATCATGAGAGAAAATGTTCTGAATTTAATTATATAAATCACCAAAGAGTAAAAAATACTACCACTTCCATGCCTTCCCTGTAATATCTCTTTGAAACAGCTCTAGCAAACCCATCATATGTATATCTTGAAGGTAGCAAGTCAAGACTTTCCATCTACGCATAAATGGGAAAACTAATATGAGCACAAGAAAAAATGCTATCAGTAATAAAGTACAGAAGTGTGGCCAAAACTGCAACAGAAATCTTTAAAAAGAAAAAGGAAAAAAAAAAAGCCATAACAGAAACAAGTAACAAAAACATATAAAAAGAGAAAATTCCTTCATAACAGCCTCCTTACAATAGAGATGCTTAAACCACATTGCCCTTTTTAGATATTGTGATAACTTATTTTTGAAGTGCATCATCAGATGAATTCCAATAGAATGTGAGCTAACTGTACAAAAATACACAATAATTATAGTATCCAGCAGCTGTTGCTGTGATGAAGTTTACAAGAGAATATTCCAGAGTTCAATAATCATTGTTCAGTGGCCATATTCTTCTTATTTCAATGGATAAAGAATAACTAGAAGTGAGCACAGGGGATGCTAAAATATGAGGGACATATCATACAACTGCCAAATTCAACAATCAGAAGCTTAACAAAGAATGCAAGACCTGAAACATTAACTGCTTTGCTAGTACAGGATTCTTAGTTTGTGCACATGCATGTATGACATCGGCAAAAGACCATTCTAGGAGCCTCAAAACAGGCATGATTTCCCATTTATCCAGTCCAATTGCTCCCCCACTTTCAACTTCTTTCTTTCCCATGAACAAAGTAACAGACTCTTGTATGTTACAAGCAGAAGTATTTGTTGTTGAAGGAACAGGCTGTTCATTATCCTTCAACTCATATTGCGGCATGCCTAATTCACTGTTGGAATTCAGGGGAATGTTCGATCTTGAAGAATAGAGCTGTCCTGTAGAAGAGGTCCGTACAACAGTATTTCCTTGCATTGCTAAAACCACCATATGTTGCAATGTTTTATATGCAGACTTTAAATCTCTTAACCTTGTAAAGGACCAAATAAACTTTCGCAAGCTAATGATACTTGGGCTGAAGTGCTTGATGTAGTCTTTCCAGATTTCATAGATTGCAGAGCGATTCTGTAGTGAAACTGCAAGCTGAAAGTAAACAGGGAAGAAAAATGGGACAATAAACTTCTAATGTAATTAACTTACAATAAATTCAGTTTCCACCTTCAACACTTCACTAATCACAAGCCAGATAGGAAAAAAATGGAAAACCAGTCACTCAACTACTAATTTTCTTTGTTCAGAGGGACTGTGAACCAAAACTTGCTTTAACCACTAATGCCTTTCACAGGAAAGACCATCAGAATGAAGCCAACACTATTTACGCACCTTCAGAAGCATTGCGTAAGTAACTTCATCCTTCCCCACCATTCTGCGCTCCATCAATTGCAAACATTGATCGGCATAATCTAAACTGCTCATTTTTGAACAGGCTCCCAAGAAAGTGTTATACACAGGCAGGGTAAGATAGGTTCCATGACTTTCTCCAATAAAATCAATCATTTTTAGTGCCTGCATGAAGCACACAAAGTTAGCATGGGAATGCTTAGCACCAACATCCCAAAAAAGAATGAACAGGTTTCACGTGCAATTTTTTAACAGTATATCTGGCAATAACAGCATTTGTCATTATGAACAAAATCAATATTCATCCTTTTAGAAACAGCATCATGCTAAGACTAACAAAGAAATGCAATCATCCCACTAAGATTAACCAGTGAAATGCAATCACCCAAAAAAAAAAAAATTGGTGATATAACCACATTTTGAACATTTATTACTAATGCTGAAAAGTTAATGAACTAAGCACAAAAAGGACAAAATGAAACTACTTCGAACACATCATCACAATAATGACATGAAAATACTGTCACTGAATGCAGCGATATGCATATACCTCCTTCAAGTAACCTCCTTTACAAAGTGCTCGGATCATAAGCAGACAGCAATTGTTATCCAGGCCAACCTCTTTTGCCTCCATTATTTGCCAAGTCTCCAAGACAAACTGCAGTAAAACGGGAACAACTTTCTGTAAATGTTGCAGCCAGAATCCCCAATATTTGGAACAAGAACTACAGTAACACAATTCAAGAATTAGGAGCCATCTTCAACTTCCCAATATCGCACAATCAGTTTACGCAATAAAATGCTTCTGCTGAGTGTGTTTAATAGCATTATACACAAGTGGATTACAGAGCACACTGCAAATCCAGAAAATAAAAATTAAAATACAGAGAAATGCATGTGCAATTAGATATTGAATTCTCTTGTCAATTTGCTTACCAATGGATCCGGGGATCTTGCACAATATTTTAGTATAGGAATGAAATTTCCAGGATTTAACGACTGTTTTTCTTGGCCAAGTTCTAAAAGCAGTGTAGATGCTCTGCTTCTCTCGCCCCTTTGAAGAGCACCAACAATTTGCTTCTGAATTGAATTTGTAATTGATTCTGGATGATACTCCAACACATTAGTACGAACAACGAAGATTTGAACTCTTAAATTTGATTCACATGTCACTTGATATAATCTGAATTTGAAGATTGTGAATAAATACCTTTTAAGGTGGTAAAATTTCGAGAGAACCAAAATTCATCACTGACATTTCTTTGTCCCTGTCAGATAAAGTTAAACATTAAAAATGTCAATTATTTATAAATATTTTTCACATACAAGAAGGATAAATGATGCAGGACAGCTTAGGGGCTGTTCTGGATCTGATTTTTGGAGGCTGTTAAGGGGTGTTTAGGGTTGTATTGAAGTAGGTAACTGCTGGAATATGAGGAAATATGTGGGTAGAATTCTAGGAGTCACATCTAGAGGATAGAAAAACCTAAGCTTCACACCTAGGGTTCTTAGGAGTCACACTAAGGGTGATTGAGTCACAAAATCAAAAGCAAATTGCTGCAAATTATTTGATATTATTGCATACTGAATATTAAAAGACTACATGCTGAATTTATAGAGTTGTAGAAGTCCAAATCCAATTAGGACCAGGATTCCTAAACCTCCAACATAACTATTCTTAATTAGACTAGGTAAACCTATAACTATTTTAGAATAGGAAACTTTGATAACTTTAGGACTAATATATAAAACAAAAATACTATAATTTCAGATTTTCCAATAGATCTGAAATTACTAAAATATCCTTATCAATTATTCAAGTTTTGTTTTCTCTGTTGTCCGCATTAATAAATCTATTAAATAGTAATGCAAGTTAAGAATCACCAACACATACTTGTTTGTGAAATTTCATTTTTTCTGCTATTGACCCAAAAGGAACTCTCCCTCTGTTAAAATAAAAATAAAAATGAAGTTAGGCTTATATTAGAGCCAATAAATGGTGACTTTCAATTTACTTATTCATGTATGTACTTACAGATGTCTATGCATTCTTTGGCAAATTTGCAGAATGAAGCTTTGAAACAGCACTGTACAGATGGTACCGTCTTTATCATTCAAAATGGCATCTGCTAGATAAAGAGAAAGAGCAAAATCCATTTGTCCTTTTAGGCAAATAATCAAACACTTTGCACACAACCCAACAGCAACCCAGAATTTGAAAACAACAACGGCCCACGATTCACAGTTCCAATATAAAAGCAAAATGAAAAGAAATAAAAAAAGAGATAATAAAAAAAATATTCCTTTGCTTAGTCAAAATGAACAAATGCTTGTTGACGTACTCCTCTGATATTTTTTATACAAGTCAAATACCTTTATGCGCCCGTTTCCAGCGAATTAGCAGCGGGACACCGACGATGTTGTAATTGCCGAGTGGCACAGTAGAACGAAGGTTGATTTTGAGGGAGAAGTAGAAAACGAGGGACCTTTGTTATGGTGCTGTAAACAGAGCCTTGAAATTGGGAGAATGAGAGGAAGACAGTGGGAGAGTGTGTGTTTTAGTAGAACGGAAGTTTTAGTCTTAAATCTTTTAAAATATTTACAATAGACTCTAATTTTTTGAATGACAATTATACCCACCTCTATGGAGGCCCGTCTCCATTCAGTAGCCCGTGTTGAGAGACCTTTTAAACTTGCTCAGATTTTAAAAAATTGCTTTTATCCGAATCATTTGTTTATAAATAGTATTGAATAAAGAAATAGAAGATAAATTATTGGATAAAAAAAGAGTAAATGTTGACAAATTTTTTCCATTTTTTTTAATATAGATGGTAATATGATTAAAAAAATAATACAAGTTGGGTCTATTTTGTAAACAAAAAAAAAATCTATTTTAATTTTAATGTTTTTAACCAATTAACTTTCATGATCAATTATCTTTAATTAAACATTTGAAAAACAAATTAAAGCCTAACATCTTTTCTTACAGTCTATTAATCAATTGAAAATTTAAGATTTATTGGGTATTACTATATTAACAACAATTCATCAATTAATTAATATAAAATTGGAAAAAAAGACATTTCTTACATAATTATATTTAGCTGCTCTTGAATAAAAAAATATTTTCCTTTTAAACCTATATTTCATTTAAAAAAAAAAAAAACCCTAAAAACCTGAAGTACAACGTTCCTAAACAAACTCTTCTTGTAGCACTCAATTGAAAATTACTTTTCATTAACAACACAATTAATACTATCGCTATACTAAAGGGATTAATTTGTAGTTTTCTCAAAGAAAGGAAAATAATAAGGGTCTATTTGCCTGTATGGTTGCGAGGGGTTTTTCATTGTGAAGCTAAACATCATAAACTCTAAAACTCGCCGCCACAGCCCAGCTCTCATCTGCAACCTACATATCTTACAGTTCGTTCTCAGGTAATCCCTCAATCTCCGCAATTCCTCTTTCATATTTAATGTACTCGTCAGTTTCATTGCCTACTAGACAATTACATCTTTCCGGTTATTATTATTTTTTCTCCGTGGAACCGAACAGAGGCTAAGTTACGGTGATTGTTAAGATTGTTGTAGTTTTTATTTGATTTTACCATTTTAACAATGAAGTGTTGATTTTTATCTGGGTTCTGTTTGTTCTCTAAGAAATACAATTTAAGTAATGGAAAATAAAATTTCAGAATCCACATACAGTACACATGTATATATCTGCTTATGTGTTCGTAGTCAGAGTTTCACTTGGTTGAATATCAATTTTGTTCTCGCGTTACCTCTGCAAGAAAGGAGGTACTCACTTCGTTGTTTTATGTGATTTGTAGGTGGAGTAGAGGTTTTTTTTTATTGGACAGGGAGGGTAGTGGATAATAATAGTCGTAATGGCAGAAGCGGAGCCACAGGCGTTGACATATATACCAGAGGTGATATTGAAGAAAAGGAAGCATAAGGAAGAATCAATTGCTCTTACTAGGAAAAACCAGTTGGAGTTGGGGCAACATGGTGGGAAGAAGAGGAAAGTGGAGGATATTAAAAGGCCCGAACAGTTTGTCAGGGAGTTTAGGGACAAGGTAAAATAGTTTACTTGCTGTGAATTGGGTGCTCTTTCAAAGGTTTTTTTCTTTAATGTTTGTTGGTTGCCTTTTTTAGAATCTTTCTGTGTAATGCATGCTAATATAAGTGAAATTCGAAATTTTGAAATATTTTGATAAATTTGGTCCTATCATCCTATACAAGCAGGAAATGGTTCAACTTTAGGTCAATTGTTGTATGCTCTATTTATTTTCAAATGAAATTTTTGCTTTTGTCTGGATTTCATTTACTTAATGAATTAGCAAATATGCTGGTTGGTTCCTTATTTTTTGTTATCATTTCCTTAAGTACAATTGTTTCCATCTTGAAATTAGTAAGATAACTAGGATTCTATTAGATGACAAAATTTCAGTTTCTCATGCTCTGTATGGCAATGTTCTTGTTTTGCATCAAGGACTTAAAATAAAATCTGAGATTACTATTTCTTGGATTATTAGAAGCAAAATGTGTTTTGACAGGTTGTTAAGTGTGATATTTGTCTAGATCATCTTGTATTGTGATGCATAATTTTCTGGTAACTTAGAAATTAGGACCAAGGCTTGTTGCAACTACTCCACTGTTAAATCATTTGACCAGGGGACCTTAGAGGTATGCTTATTGTGGTACTTGTATGTTTTGTGCACTTGCTGTCCTGTGTTTGGCAGAACTATTTTATGTTTTAGGGCATACAATGTAACCATATATCATAATTTGCCATCAAAAGATTCCGTGTGTGAGGTCTTTGAAAACTAGCATGCGGATAATTCAGTGAGTTTCAGGAACTCGAATGTGATATCATCTAATTGAAGACCTTTTCTGGCTTCTCATATTTGTTAGAATATTTAATGATTGCATTTTAAATCTTCTTTAGCTCATGCTGCTAAAGTTACCATGTGGTGGCCCCTTTTCTTCTGTTCGTTTCACATAATATTCATTAGTATATGTAAAATCCTGACAGTATGATTTTGTAATAATTATAAGTTTGGTGCTTTCGATAAAGGAATTGGATCTCATCCGAATGAAACAGAGGACGAAGAGGGCAAAATCAGCATTAACAACACCAAATTCAAAGCTCCTATTTGTCATTCGCATCCATGGGTAGGTTTCTGGTGCTCTGCAATGATTCCATTCAATATTTCTGCTATTTATTCTTCCAGTTCTGACATGTCCATTTGTTTTCAGCAAAAATGACATGCATCCAAAAACTAGGAAGTTCTTATACAAATTGAGATTGACAAGAATCTTTCACGGTGTCTTCTTGAAGGCCACCCCAGGGGTATTAGAATTGTTGCAGAAGGTGGAGCCATATGTTACATATGGGTAGGACGCTCAAACCCTTATTAATTTATTGTGGCAAAGTATAACCTTAAATATTGGCAGAGGTGAATGGTTCAGTATTATTTAATCATAGCAATCTTGAGAGATTTATTATGACATCTGGTAAAGTTACTGTGAGTATGCCAAATAGATTAGTCCAGTATGTTAGATGTAGTGCCAAGGTGAGCTGGACCACCAGCTCTCGGTCATTTGTGGGTCATATCAATTTCCTTATTGGCATGTTGCTCATCAGTTATTAACAAAGGTGCTTGTTCTTTATATATGTTAGTAGATATAGATGTTTTTCCTGGCTTCTTAGTTTCCAAACCAACCTGTTCTCTGAATTATCTGCTTTTTGAACCAGTGACTTGCTGAAGATTTTAGATATTTTTATAATAGTTATCCAGCGGCTTCTTTTAGAGTTTCAATCTTCTACCTGATCTTTATTTTCAGTACATATGCTGGATATAGAGCTAAGCTCATTAAGACTTTCTTTCTATATTTTGCTTGGTACCGAAATTACACTATGGACAGGATGTTAGATCAAGATGGAGATTGTCCATGAGCATATTTGGGCTTTTGATTTCTGCCTTAAATGAATACTTGAATGCAAATATGAGACTCTCAAGAGATTCCTTAATAAATGATAAAGTGAGCAGTTGAAATGTGATAGCATGATTTCTTTTGGTAACAAGGAATTGCCTGCCTGGATGTTTTATACGCAACCAAATTTTTTTCTTGTTTTTCACTGGCTCCTTAACGTTGCATTTTCTAGTCTTTAGGCAGACATGCTTTTAGGAATAGGTTTCAACCGTTCAACATTCTAGTTTGGAAATGGGTATATTCTAATGATGTTACACGGTTGCTGTGTCAGTTTAACAATTCAGATGAATTTGTCCTAACAAGCTTTTGTTGTTTATGAAGATATCCAAATGTTAAGAATGTGAGTGATCTGATTTACAAGAAGGGCTATGGAAAGATAGACAACAAAAGAGTTCCTCTAATTGATAATAACATTATCGAACAGGTATTTGATGAATCTTATTATGACTGTGTTAAGTTTTGTAGTGCCTGTGGCATTTTCACACATTTCTTCATTTTGGCAGGCATTAGGGAAGTATGGCATTCTATGTCTAGAAGATATTATACATGAAGTCGCCAATGCTGGTCCACATTTCAAGGAGATCATTAATTTTTTGGGGCCATTTTCACTTAACAAGCCAAAAGAAGGACTGCAAGGGAAGAAGGCATTATACAAAGATGGGGGAGACACTGGCAATCGTGCGAATCAGATTAATGATTTAATCAATAAGATGAATTAGTCTGAAGAAAACAGGTCATATGATGAAGTGTAATTCATCTAACTTCTGCCCTTTAAGATGATTCTGAGCCATGTATCACAGTTATTATTTCCCGCTAGTTGGATTTTGAAACCGTCATAGTTCATTTCCTTTTTCTGATTTTTCTGTTTTGTTTCATCTTTTTGTCAGCAATATCTCTTGTAATATTGTCTTCTATCTTTTGTGGCTGCATTGACATTATTTTTGTGAAGGGGATGGATGAACAGGAGAGATGGAGGGGTAGAATAGGTATTCATCGTTTGATTGGGTACATTTATACTCAAGCAATTCATGGATACTTCCTTTTTTCTTTTTTTTTCTTCTTCTTCTTTTGGGGCCGGGGGTTCTCCTTGTATTGACAAGGATGTCGGCAACCAGGCAGGAAAAACAAGAATTGACGGACTTAAAAGCTTTTACCATTTATCTAAGTTGTTTTTGTTTCTATCTTTACTTCTGCTAAATTTACAGCCATGGTTCTCGGCAAGTTTATTTTCTTTTGTCCTCTAGTCATAATTTGTCTTGTAATATTTTCTTTTATCCTTACGAGTGTCAATGATTGAGATTTAAGTGTTGCTCAATTCTGAAAATTTTGGTTGAACTTGTGACTTCGCTAGGATTTTGGCTACTATTCATTCCGTCTACTTAAAATTTATGGTGCACCTGATTTCTACTTCTGCTTTAACCCATTGAATTTAATCTTTTATAAGTTGATTACATCTGATTTACTTATCCTGCTTGTGGACATAATCTTGAGACTAATAAATGGTTTTATTATATCTAAATTTCTATTTTGAATCAGAAGGGATGCGAGTAGAAATTTAGATCTAATAAGGGGTTGGGTGGGTAAGCGAGTTTATTTTTCTTGTCATTATTTTGGATCTGAATTCAAGAGAAGCTGTGATGGAGATTTTTAATGTCTCCCCTGGTTTGAATGCAAGAATAATTGTTCCGTGGTGACTGGTGTGGAATGAGGAATCTCTCCTACGTACAATAGAAGTCGTTTCCGGAGAAAATCTGTAGCATATGGAAGCTTCCTCCAATCTTCTTCCAGTGGAACGAGGGTTAGGTGGATTAAAATTTCTACAGTACAGTAAAAGCGAACCTGGACTTTGTCAGACTTGACCTTGTGTCCTGCGTGTTCGAAAAATCATAGCTATAAAGTGGAAGGCAGTGGGGTAAACGAAGCTAAGAAGAAGTAACATAAAGAACCACGCATTCTAGTGGGAATGGGACATATAATGGACTAAATACACAATTTCCATGCAAATGGTCGACTACGTGATTTTTCTTGTACAGAGCTTCATTATAAATAGCACTCCAATGGTCCGTAAGTTTCAAGCCAACGACTCATTCCTCACTCCATAGTTCCTTAGCTTTATAGAAAGGTATGATCATGAAAATATCGATCAGTTTTGCTACTCTTGTTCCCATTCTTCTTCTTTGCTTGTCTCTTCCACCAACTATTGCTCTTCCCTTCAACCATGGGAACTTCACTAGAGTTCTTTGCAGCTCAAGAGAGATGCTCTCTTGAAGTTGAAGCATGATCTCACCGATCCTTCAAACCGACTTGCATCTTGGGTTGGTGATGGGGATTGCTCGCGGATGGCATGGAATCGTTTGTCACAATATTACCGGCCATGTCATTGAGCTCAATCCGAGAAGTTTTTCTTTCCAAGAATATTATGATGCCTTCCACGATCGTGACTACGGGAGACACCTCCTTAGCGGTAAGATCAATCCTTCTTTGCTCAACTTGAAACGTTTGGTGCGCTTGGACTTGAGCAACAATGATTTTGGAGGAACTCATATTCCCAAATTCCTTGGTTCTCCGGGGAGTTTGAAATACCTTAACCTATCTCGTGCTCGGATTTGGAGGTATGATTCCTCATCAACTAGGAAACTCGTCAAATCTTCACTATCTTAATCTTCGTGGTCATTATCCTTATGAATCCTATGTTGAGAATTTAGATTGGGTATCCGGTCTTTCTTCACTAGAATTCCTTGATTTGAGTGTTTTGAATCTCGACAGAGCCTTTGATTGGTTAGAGTTGATAAATAATGCACTCCCTTCTTTGGTACGATTACATTTGTCATATGTCAACTTCCTCCGATTCCTCCACTTGTCAATGTCAACTTTTCGTCTCTTTCCATCCTTGATCTCTCATATTCTTCAATCCGCGTGCTAAAATTTCATAGTTGGATCTCTCATCTCAAAACTCGGTTTCTCCGAATCTAGGAAGCAATTATTTTAAAGGTCCAATCTCTAATAATCTTCAAAACTTGACTTCACTTAGGGAACTTGATCCGTCTTGGAATCGATTCAATTCTTCGATACCCAACTCGGTTGTATGGTTTTAGTCGTCTTGAGCTTCTCAACCTTGGATTCAATAACTTGCAAGGTGAAGTTTCAAGTGCCATTGAAAACATGACCTCTCTTATCGGTCTTCACTTGTCGAGCAATGATGAACTCGAATTCAATCGAGGAATCCTCGCATCATTCAAAAACCTTTGCAATTTGAAGGTCTTATCTTTTTCATCCCTTAAACTGAAACAAGATATAGCCGAGGTCTTTGAAATTCGTTAGGATGTGTTTCGGATAAGCTTGAGTCGTTGCATTTGAGTGGTTGTCAATTATTTGGTGGTTTGACCGATCATGTAGGGCAATTTAAGAATGCGGTTTCCTTTAATTTATGGAATAACCAATTGAATGGAAGTCTTCCGGATTGTTTTGAAGGGCTTTAGAAGTTGAATTTTTTATATATTTCTCACAATTTGATTTCCGGTCCAATGCCTATGTCTTTTGGAGAACCGGCGTCATTGAAGAGTCTAGGCCTTTCCCATAATAGATTCAATGGAACTCTCCCCGCATCTTTTAATGCGCTCACAAAACTAGAAGAGGTAGACCTTTCCAATAATTTGTTGGTGGGTGATGTTTTCGAATTTCACTTTGCAAATCTCACTAAATTAAGATATTTTGATGCTCGGTGGAAACCAATTGATTTTGAGAGTCGATCCTATTGATTGGATTCCTCCATTTCATTTGGAAGGCCTATATTTGAGTTCTTGGACTATTGGGCCCCAATTTCCCACATGGCTTCGCTCACTTAAGTATTTATCCTATTTGGATTTATCAAGTTCGAGCATTTCCGAGTACGGTTCTCGCTTGGTTCCGGAACTTTTCGTCTCAACTTAATCTCTTAAATCTCTCTCACAACCAAATCCATGGAGTGATTCCCAATAACCCCAAACTTGATTTTTCCGGTGAACACCCAATCGTGGACTTGAGTTCAAATAATTTCAAAGGCCCACTCGCCTTCTATGTTCTCCAACTCCGTATTCATTAAATCTCTTCGACAATTCATTTTTCGGGTCCATAATCAACTTTTTGTGTCATAAGATGCATGAGAACATAAAAAGCATGCGATTTGTTAATCTTGAAAAAAATCGTTATATGGAGAGATACTCGATTGTTGGATGAGTCGGCAATATTTGATAGGCATAAAATTAAGCAACAACGGATTCAGCGGCAATATTCCCAAGTCTTTAGGGACTTTGAGTTCGCTTGAGTCATTGCACCTACGCGATGAATGATCTATCGAGTGAATTGCCGAGTCGCTCAAAAATTGTAGAAAAATAGTTACACTTGACATCGGTGAAAATGAATTAACAGGAAACATTCCAACATGGATGGGAGAGAGATTATCAAGCATGGTTGTTCTAAACATGCGTGCAAATAAGTTTCATGGCCACATATCGAAAGAGCTTTGCAATCTAGCCGCTTTACAAATCTTGGATCTTGCCCATAACTATCTCGAAGGGGGATACCAACTTGTGTGTCTAATTTCGGTGCCATGGCTACAAGAAATGATTTTGAGGGCTATATTTATATTTCATCTAATTACTCGAGATCATACTGCGAGAATCAATTTCTTGTGATGAAGGGAATAATGGTCGAGTATAGCACTATTCTCGGATTGGTAAGGAGCATAGACCTTTCTAACAATACCTTACATGGAGAGATTCCAACCGAAATTATAAGACTTGAAGGATTGGTGTCTTTGAATTTATCATAAAATTTCTTAATTGGAAAAATTCCCAAGGATATAGGTGCCATACGATATCCGGAATCTATTGATTTTTCTCTCAACCAACTATCCGGTCAAATCCCTTCAAGCATGTCAAGTTTAACATTTCTAAATCTTTTGAATTTATCTCACAACAAGCTGTGGGGAGAAATTCCTTTGGGAACTCAATTGCAAAGCTTTAGTCCATATGATTTTATGGGCAACGAACTTTGCGGGCCTCCACTCTCTAAGAATTGTAATAGAGATGGTACTATACAAGACTCGAAGAATGGAAGGAATGAAGATGGCGACGTCATGGAGTTTAATTGGTTTTATGTGAGCATGGCATTGGGGTTTATAGTAGGATTTTGGAGCACGAGTTGGTCCTTTGTTGTTTAATAGACGATGCGGATATGTATACTTTCATTTCTTGGATAGGTTGTGGGACAAAATTTGGTTGTATTTTCATGTAAACCTTGCTTGTTAATTGGAAGTTGTAGGCATATGTGTCTTAGGTATTATTATTATATATTATGTTGTAACTATGTTTATTTGATGATGGCTAGCATGTGGTCTAGTTGAATAAAACTCGGATATTTTGTACTCTTGTAATTTTATTTATGTAATAAAAGTTTTTTTTTTGTGGTTTTTTACCTATATATTAAGAGATTTTTCACGTAAAATTTGTATCTTTAATCATTTATCTATTGATGTGATATTTATTGTTGTAGCTTTTATGGTAGTGTAGTGAGTACTTGGAACGTAAATCATTAAATTTTTGCTAAAAGAAGAATTAATGCAAAAGGTGGAGTTTTATGCTAATAAAAAAGTTATTGATGAGTACGACGAAATCAATTGGTCCTCTATTATATCTTGTAATGCCAAGGATATTCCGAGTGTTTTTTTCTTTTCTTTTTTCTTTCCTAATCGATAAGGAAGGATGTTCAAGCTTACCTTAAGGCAATGAAGCCGCCACTATGTGCTACCTCCGAATCTCTTTCGGATCATACCAACTTTCTAATTTTTGGGTCGTTGCGGTCCAATTAATGACAAATAGGCTTGTTCTTTTTTATGTTTATTATAGATAGATGCTTTCCCCGGCTTCTTAGCTTCCAAAAGAAAGATTAGTTATCCAGATTTCATTTTGATCTTACCAATGATGGTGTTTATGACTTGCCCGTTTAAGAGACTTGCCTTTGTTGTGCTTGCTTGCTGCATTTTCCGTTTTCGACTTCTTTTTATTCCATGCCAATTTGCTTTTCTACAAATTTGATGTTTTTAATTTAATACTGAACTTATATATATATATATATAATCAAATCTTCATGTTTTTTTTTTTTTGAACCCATCTATATAGTGGATATAGATAGTTAAGCTCTTTGAAATGTCTTTTTGGGAGCCTAACCGACGGTATTGATCACAGGTCAAGTTGATCAAATTTAGAGATTGTTCAACGTATTTAGGCTTTGGGTCAGCACTAATAATCAATCTCTCGGTGCATATATATATAGCTTTCTTACATTATTCTTGGATAATGTCATTGAGGTAACAGACTTTCTTACATTATTCTTGGATTAATGTCATCGAGGTAACCCAAAATTTAGTGCTCAAACTTTTATTTCACTAGCTTGGTTTTTTTTTTCAATACTTTAATTTTTTTTTAACACAAAAATTATAGAAAATTGATCGTTCACAAAATGGCAAGACAGAAATATTTGTGATGTGGTTCTATATATATATATATATATATATATATATATATATATATATATATATATATATATATTGTAAAAATTATATAATTTTTTGAAAAACAATCATTAAAATAAAAATTAAAAATTATCTGGATGAGAATTTCCATAAGGAATAACAAATTGAAAGAATCAATTTTTTTAAAAAATCATTCTTAAAAATAAGAATGAAATATATATCTCGGATCAATTTTCTATTTATTCTTATTGTAATATTCTTATTCTTTAAAATTAATTCTTTCAATTTGTTATTCCTCATGGAAATTCTCATCCAGATAATTTTTTATTTTTATTTTAATGATTTTTTTCAAAAAAAAATATAATTGATCGTTATTTTTTAAGTTTTCCACACAAAATGGCAAGAAAGAAATATATGGGATGTATTTCATATTTTTAAATGAACATATATATCATATTATAATATTTTTATTGTTTAAATTTAATTCTTTCAATTTGTTATTTCTTATGAAAATTCTCATCCAATTATTTTTTATTTTTATAAAATTTTATTTACCGACAAATATGATTTTTTTTCTATTTATAGATTTTGGAGTTAAATTTTAAAACATGATCACCTTCTCTCTTTAAAAAAAAAAATTAAGATAGTTTATATGATGAATTCCTATGATTTTTAAAAGAGACTAGCATGATTATATATATATATATATATATATATATATATATATATATATAAAATCTAAAGGTTACGGATGTATTTTTTTAAAAAAAATTAAGATAGTTTATATGGATAAACACACCTATGGCTGTATGTGTGGTGACACAAGACCAAAAGCAAAACCACACGACCGTATGTCTTTTGATGCTTCATCTTACAAGGGCGTAATGAGTTTCCTTGAGTAATAAGCTTAAATGGACTAGATACATGCCGAATTATAGTTTTCTTCCTTCATAAAAGTTGTAGCCCTATCTCTTAGCTTTCCAAAGCATTAAGTCTTGAATCATTTTGAGGTCCACAGGTTTAATTATGGGTTGAATATCGCCTCCGTCCAACTTTAGGATTCCAACTTAGTAGTTGAATTCCTCTATCAAACCGACCTAGTTTGGACTCAAGACTTTAATAAGAATTGTAGGCATGCCTTTTAAGTATTTCATGAGTTTTTTCTTATATCAATTGGAGTTTTAAAACTCTAGATATGAATTAAATGTTACAATCAATCTAGACTCCAAATAGAATTCGGATCGACTTTCTAGACCAAAATACGAATATATGGTTTTGTTAAATGTGGAGTCTTTGGTTGAATGATATGGAGGGTGAGGTTGATGGAATGGTTCGACCTAGGTAGGCTTAATGAAGAATTTCGTAATTGTATCTTGTGATGGATTCGAGCAATGACCATGGAATTGTTTGAGGTTGTTATGGCTTGACATGTTCGAGTTAAGGGAAATAATTGAGGTTGCTTGGATTATGTTCATGGTCGATTTTGGCTTGATGTTAGAAGATTTATGCTTATAGTGTCACATGAAGGATCCGACCATGTGTTGTTTCGAGTTATATTCGTGAATTGTTGATGACATATGAGTTGTATTCATGGTTGTTTGAGACTATATAGTTTCAACCTTATCATGTCATGTTAATTGTATACGTGGTTGGTAAGCTTGATGATATTCAACCTTAACACGTCATGTAGAATGCATTCGGGAGTGACTTAATGCCTTATGATTCATGTTCATGTTTATACTTGATATTGTATTCTAATTGTATTCACATCATGAAATGCTTTATGTCATGATTTCAAGTATTCAAAAAT